TTGAGGTGGTTTGGTCATTTAGAGAGAATGGTTTCAAAGTAGAATGACATGGAAAGCATATAAATCTATAGGGGAAGGAAAGAGGGGTAGGGGTCGTCCTCGAAAGGGTTGGAAAGAGGGGGTAAAGGAGGTTTTGTGGGCGAGGGGCTTGGACTTCCAGCAAGCGTGCATGAGCGTGTTAGATAGGAGTGAATGGAGACAAATGATACTTGGGACCTGACGATCTGTTGGAGTGTGAGCAGGGTAATATTTAGTGAAGGGATTCAGGGAAACCGGTCATTTTCATATAGACGGACTTGAGTCCTGGAAATGGGAAGTACAATGCCTGCACTTTAAAGAAGGGGTTTGGGATATTGGCAGTTTGGAGGGATATGTTGTGTATCTCTATACGTATATGCTTCTAAACTGTTGTATTCTGAGCACCTCTGCAAAAGCAGTGATAATGTGTGAGTGTGGTGAAAGTGTTGAATGATGATGAAAGTATTTTCTTTTTGGGGATTTTCTTTCTTTTTTTGGGTCACCCTGCCTCGGTGGGAGACGGCCGACTTGTTGAAAAAAAAAAAAAAAAAAAAAGTAACACATATTTTATGAAAAAGAGGATAAATAAATATACAAGGTATGATGTAGCACGTAATGAAAGTAGTTTATTAGATTATGTATTGGTGGATAAAAGGTTGATGGGTAGGCTCCAGGATGTACATGTTTATAGAGGGGCAACTGATATATCGGATCATTATTTAGTTGTAGCTACAGTTAGAGTAAGAAGTAGATGGGAAAAGAGGAAGGTGGCAACAACAAGTAAGAGGGAGGTGAAAGTGTATAAACTAAGGGAGGAGGAAGTTCGGGCGAGATATAAGCGACTATTGGCAGAAAGGTGGGCTAGTGCAAAGATGAGTAGTGGGGGGGTTGAAGAGGGTTGGAATAGTTTTAAAAATGCAGTATTGGAATGTGGGGCAGAAGTTTGTGGTTATAGGAGGGTGGGTGCAGGAGGAAAGAGGAGTGATTGGTGGAATATGAAGTAAAGGGTGTGATAAAAGAGAAAAAGGTAGCTTACGAGAGGTTTTTACAAAGCAGAAGTGTTATAAGAAGAGCAGAGTATATGGAGAGTAAAAGAAAGGTGAAGAGAGTGGTGAGAGAGTGCAAAAGGAGAGCAGATGAAAGAGTGGGAGAGGCACTGTCAAGAAATTTTAATGAAAATAAGAAAAAATTTTGGAGTGAGTTAAACAAGTTAAGAAAGCCTAGGGAAAGTATGGATTTGTCAGTTAAAAACAGAGTAGGGGAGTTAGTAGATGGGGAGAGGGAGGTATTAGGTAGATGGCGAGAATATTTTGAGGAACTTTTAAATGTTAAGGAAGAAAGGGAGGCGGTAATTTCATGCACTGGCCAGGGAGGTATACCATCTTTTAGGAGTGAAGAAGAGCAGAATGTAAGTGTGGTGGAGGTACGTGAGGCATTATGTAGAATGAAAGGGGGTAAAGCAGCTGGAACTGATGGGATCATGACAGAAATGTTAAAAGCAGGGGGGGATATAGTGTTGGAGTGGTTGGTACTTTTGTTTAATAAATGTATGAAAGAGGGGAAGGTACCTAGGGATTGGCGGAGAGCATGTATAGTCCCTTTATATAAAGGGAAAGGGGACAAAAGAGATTGTAAAAATTATAGAGGAATAAGTTTACTGAGTATACCAGGAAAAGTATACGGTAGGGTTATAATTGAAAGAATTAGAGGTAAGACAGAATGTAGAATTGCGGACGAGCAAGGAGGCTTCAGAGTGGGTAGGGGATGTGTAGATCAAGTGTTTACATTGAAGCATATATGTGAACAGTATTTAGATAAAGGTAGGGAAGTTGTTATTGCATTTATGGATTTAGAAAAGGCATATGATAGAGTGGATAGAGGAGCAATGTGGCAGATGTTGCAAGTATATGGAATAGGTGGTAAGTTATTAAATGCTGTAAAGTGCTTTTATGAGGATAGTGAGGCTCAGGTTAGGGTGTGTAGAAGAGAGGGAGAATACTTCCCGGTAAAAAGTAGGTCTTAGACAGGGATGTGTAATGTCACCATGGTTGTTTAATATATTTATAGATGGGGTTGTAAAAGAAGTAAATGCTAGGGTGTTCGGGAGAGGGGTGGGATTAAATTATGGGGAATCAAATTCAAAATGGGAATTGACACAGTTACTTTTTGCTGATGATACTGTGCTTATGGGAGATTCTAAAGAAAAATTGCAAAGGTTAGTGGATGAGTTTGAGAATGTGTGTAAAGGTAGAAAGTTGAAAGTGAACATAGAAAAGAGTAAGGTGATGAGGGTATCAAATGATTTAGATAAAGAAAAATTGGATATCAAATTGGGGAGGAGGAGTATGGAAGAAGTGAATGTTTTCAGATACTTAGGAGTTGACGTGTCGGCGGATGGATTTATGAAGGATGAGGTTAATCATAGAATTGATGAGGGAAAAAAGGTGAGTGGTGCGTTGAGGTATATGTGGAGTCAAAAAACGTTATCTATGGAGGCAAAGAAGGGAATGTATGAAAGTATAGTAGTACCAACACTCTTATATGGATGTGAAGCTTGGGTGGTAAATGCAGCAGCGAGGAGACGGTTGGAGGCAGTGGAGATGTCCTCTCTAAGGGCAATGTGTGGTGTAAATATTATGCAGAAAATTCGGAGTGTGGAAATTAGGAGAAGGTGTGGAGTTAATAAAAGCATTAGTCAGAGGGCAGAGGAGGGGTTGTTGAGGTGGTTTGGTCATTTAGAGAGAATGGATCAAAGTAGAATGACATGGAAAGCATATAAATCTATAGGGGAAGGAAAGAGGGGTAGGGGTCGTCCTCGAAAGGGTTGGAAAGAGGGGTAAAGGAGGTTTTGTGGGTGAGGGGCTTGGACTTCCAGCAAGCGTGCATGAGCGTGTTAGATAGGAGTGAATGGAGACGAATGATACTTGGGACCTGACGATCTGTTGGAGTGTGAGCAGGGTAATATTTAGTGAAGGGATTCAGGGAAACCGGTTATTTTCATATAGTCGGACTTGAGTCCTGGAAATGGGAAGTACAATGCCTGCACTTTAAAGGAGGGGTTTGGGATATTGGCAGTTTGGAGGGATATGTTGTGTATCTCTATACGTATATGCTTCTAAACTGTTGTATTCTGAGCACCTCTGCAAAAGCAGTGATAATGTGTGAGTGTGGTGAAAGTGTTGAATGATGATGAAAGTATTTTCTTTTTGGGGATTTTCTTTCTTTTTTTTGGGTCACCCTGCCTCGGTGGGAGACGACCGACTTATTGAAGAAAAAAAAAAAAAAAAAAAAAAAAAAAAAAAAAAAAAAAAATATATATATATATATATATATATATATATATTATAATATATATAATATAATATATAATATAATATATATAATATATATATATAATATATATAATATATATATATATATAATAATATATATATATGTATATATATATATATATATATATATATATATACAGGAGGGCCCCGCTTTACGGCGTTCCGCTTTACGGCGTTCCGCTAATACGGACATTTCAAATTATGACCAAAACTCACTATAACGGCTCCCCCCACCTGACTTTCTAATACGGTCACCGTGCCCACCCTGTTTGTTTACATTCTCCATGAGCTCAGTAAGCACTAAGTCTCTCCATTTGTCTGGAAACTCCAAAATTTCAAATGTTTTAAAAGTTATTTCATATTTTATATATACTCTGATAATTATACTTATGTATACCTGTACCTAAATAAACTTACATACATCAAGTCATTTAAATGTCGTATATTACGTTAATATACACATTTCATTAATCCATCCATGATATTTTTTTCAAAATTATATAATAAACACGATGCATAACATATAAATAAGATAAATACACCCCACAGTAGAATAAATAAACAAATGTGAGATGTCGTAGCAGACGACTTCCACAAGTGGTGATAATAACAATACTGAGTCTCATTAAATGTCGTATATTACGGTAATATACACATTTTCATTAATCCATCCATGATATTTTTTTCAAAATTATATAATAAACACGATACATAACATATAAATAAGATAAATACACCCCACAGTAGAATAAATAAACATAAATGTGATCTGTGGTAGCAGACGACTTCCACAAGTGGTGATAATAACAATAGTCACGGAGTCTCATTAAATGTCGTATATTACGGTAATATACACATTTTCATTAATCCAGCCATGATATTTTTTTCAAAATTATATAATAAACACGATACATAACATAAAAAGATGATAAATACACCCCACAATAGAATAAATAAACATAAATATAAGATGTGGGAGCCTGGTTTGTTTACTCTGTGCCTGGCCTGTCACCTCTCATGTACTCATTCTTTCTCTCTCTCATTTATTCGTTTTATCTCATTTACTTACTCCTGACCCTACATTAAGACTACAAATATTTTAAGGTAAGTAATGAGTGAACTGTATATACATTTTATCGCTCTGGGATGCTTAAATATCATAGAATAGTATGTGTGGGTGGGGTGGCCTGGTGAGGTAGCCTGCCTATTACAATACATACCACACTTGATTTCTTACAATAAATACTACTTGTCTCACCCTAGATTAAGACTATAAATATTTTAAGGTAAGTAATGAGTGCACTATGTGTGTATTGTACCTTTTTATTGTTTTTGATGCCTGGTTCTATTGCTAACTTAATATATGTTAGTGTAAACTTGTTATCTAGTGTTTGTATGCATTTATAAGTGGAAAAAAAGGGTGTTCCACTTTACGGCGATTTCCGCTTTACGGCGGTAGCCTGGAACCTAACCCGCCGTATAAGTGGGGCCTTCCTGTATATATATATATATATATATACGTATATATATATATATATACGTAATATATATATATATATATACGTATATATATATATATATATACGTATATATATATATATATACGTATATATATATATATATACGTATATATATATATATATATATATATATATATATATATATATATACCTAGGTAGTAGGTTGGTAGACAGCAACCGCCCAGGGAGGTACTACCGTCCTGCCAAGTGAGTGTAACACGAAAGCCTGTAATTGTTTTACATGATGGTAGGATTGCTGGTGTCCTTTTTTCTGTCTCATGAACATGCAAAATTTCAGGTACGTCTTGCTACTTCTACTTACACTCAGGTCACACTACACATACATGTACAAGCGTATATATACATACCCCTCTGGGTTTTCTTCGATTTTCTTTCTAGTTCTTGTTCTTGTTTATTTCCTCTTATCTCCATGGGGAAGTGGAACAGAATTCTTCCTCCGTAAGCCATGCGTGTTGTAAGAGGCGACTAAAATGCCGGGAGCAAGGGGCTAGTAACCCCTTCTCCTGTATATATTACTAAATTTGAAAGGAGAAACTTTGGTTTTTTCTTTTGGGCCACCCTGCCTCGGTGGGAGACGACCGACTTGTTGAAAAAAAAAAAAAAAAAATATATATATATATATATATATTAATTAGGAACAAATGAAGACAAGGGGGCTTTTTAACAGACATGTCACTGGAGTGTGAGCAAAATAATTTTTATGAAGGGATTCAGAAAATCTGGTTAGCTGGGCTTGAGTTCTGGAGGTGGGAAGGGCTGTGCCTGTACACTGAAGGAGGGGTGGTAATGTTGCAATCAGAGGGTAATCTGATTGTGATGTCAGCACACTTCTAGCATGACAGTGATTGGATAAATGTGTTTTCTTCTTTTGGTAACCCTGCCTTGCCAGAAGACTGCCACCGGGGAGGATGGGAATTTGTTATATACATATACTTATACGTATAAAAAATATAAACTTAATTAAACTTTGGACAATGAGACTGACTTGCGATTTGTGATATAACCTCATGACTCTCCTTAAAATACACTTGTTAATTTAAAATTCAATATAAAACTTGACGTAATTTCAACCAATGATTTACATGATAAAATGTAGTCTGAACACAACAGAATAAAACTGTGGTACGAAATAGGTAAAAAGTATTTACAGTAGTAAACAATGAACGAGTCACTGCCATAATATGCCTGATCTTCAAGACAATTACAACATACACAAAGTAACTGGAACCTTCACTTCCTAACCTGTTTTCCAAGAGTTTCTTCGCTCGACTTGTCTTCTGATCTCCTATTCTCTTCGCTGGACATGGCTACTTATTTCAACCTCACCTACTCATCTGACCTGTCTTGTGACTTCTCCACCTCTTAACATGACCTCTCTTCTGTTTTTCTCATTCTCTCTTTCAGTTGCAACCTGACAAGGTTCAAGATGGACAGAAATATTGTCTATAATTTCCTTACCAAAATGTGGGTTAGATGTCAGCATACTGACAGGCAGCAGGAGCGCACAAAAAACAATAAAAATAGCATATAAAGCAGTTTGAAAAATATTTGTACCCCATCATTTCATATTCATCTTGTGCCCATGTCTACCTTTAGACCTGACAGCTTCTCATGAGAATCGATTAGCTCGTATCCTGAGCTACTACTATCAACAGAGCATAGCAGCCACTGGCAGTTGTTAAAAATTATTATATTCACAATAAAGCACTAAATGCATATTGGTCCTTTGGAGCTGTTTGGGTTAAAATTATCCTGGTAAATGTTTTGATTTCAAGCGTGATAGTGTTTCAACAAGAACATATAATTTAGAATTTTTAACTGATAACTAGTGAACTGGTGAAATTAATTTCCTGCCTAACCTCATTACAACTCTATGGTTATTCATGTGATTCCTGGCATCACTTTTGGTATTGTCCCTTAAATTACAAAAATACTTTTTTTTAAAAATTAGGTTAGGTTAGTGTAGGCTACATAAACATATTAAAATATATATTTAACCACAAACAAGTCCAGGCAGTGTTCAGATCTGCATGGATGGTTGGAGCATCAGATGTGAACACTCATCATTTATGTGAGGATGGTTGGAGCATCAGATGTGAACACTCATCATTTATGTGAGGATGGTTGGAGCATCAGATGTGAACAATCATCATTTATGTAATGATGGTTGGAGCATCAGATGTGAACAATCATCATTTATGTGAGGATGGTTGGAGCATCAGATGTGAACAATCATCATTTATGTGAGGATGGTTGGAGCATCAGATGTGAACAATCATCATTTATGTGAGGATGGTTGGAGCATCAGATGTGAACAATCATCATTTATGTGAGGATGGTTGGAGCATCAGATGTGAACGCTCATCATTTATGTAATGATGGTTGGAGCATCAGATGTGAACAATCATCATTTATGTGAGGATGGTTGGAGCATCAGATGTGAACAATCATCATTTATGTGAGGATGGTTGGAGCATCAGATGTGAACAATCATCATTTATGTGAGGATGGTTGGAGCATCAGATGTGAACAATCATCATCATTTATGTGAGGATGGTTGGAACATCAGATGTGAACAATCATCAGTTATGTGAGGATGGCTGAAGCATCAGATGTGAATCCTCATTATTTATATGAAGATGGTTGAAGCATCAGATGTAAACACTCATCCTTTATGTGAGGATGGTTGGAGCATCAGATGTAAACACTCATCCTTTATGTGAGGATGGTTGGAGCATCAGATGTGAAAACACATGACTTGTAGTGTGAGGATGATCAGAGCATTAGATGTGAACACACGTGACTTGTAGTGTGAGGATGGTTGGAGCATCAGATTGAACACAGTTGTGTTGTGAGGATGGCTGGACCATCATGAAGATGTGAACAAATTGTGTTGTGAGGATGGTTGGAGCATCAAATGTGAACACAGTTGTAGTGTGAGGATGGTTGAAGCATCAGATGTGAACAAATTTGTGGTGTGAGGTTGGTTGAAGCATCAGATTTGAACAAACTTGTGGTGTGAGGATGGTTGGACCATCAGATGTGAACAGGCATCACTCATGTTGTGAGAGTAGGTAAAGCATACATGTAAGCAGGCATCACTTGTGTTCTGAGGATGGCTGAAGCATCAGATGTAAACAGGCATCACTCAAGTTGTGAGAACAGTGTTACATGTAAACAGGCAACATTTGTGTTGTAAGGGTGGTTGAAGTATTACATTTAAGCAGGCAACACTTGTGTGGTGAGGATGGTTGGAAACTAGGTAAAAATGTTGCCAAAATATGCAGTATATTTTTATCAACAATAGTTTAGCTAAGGCAACACTGCAGGGATTCGCTCTCTCCTAAAGCTATTTTCTGGTTGTTTTTAATATTTTCATTCAACACGTAGAAACAATATATGTGCAGCACCTCAAGCATTCTTAACTACACATTTAATCATTCCTTAAGAGATACAGGCAATCACCATCAGCACAACTGGTCAAGAAATAATGCAATCCTTCTAACAATATTCCAAAATTGTCTTTAACAGCCTAAAGTCATTTAGAAGACCAGCTTCAGTTATCACAAAAGTAAAAAGAATCTGGATAGAATTTCTAATCACATTTCAACATTTGTAAAAATACATCATTCTCCGATGGTTAAGTTTCTTAAGTATTCTGTGAACAGTGAGAAGAAGAGAGCTCATAAAGCACGGTAATGCAAGCTGTGATCATGGAGTGACAAGTACATAATGAGGGGTTTAGGAAGAAAGTTAGCATCATGTTGTAACATTTAGGAGAAATCATTTGCATTGGTCATGTTATAAATTATGTGAATGTTTTCAATGCTATCTCTATGAAGAAACTATGCAGAACTCCATATGTAAGTATATGTGTGTGTGCACATGTGTATGCATGTATGTGGGCATGTGTGCACATAGTATATGTGCATAAGTGAAATATTTTAGGCTTATAGTATTTTGATATACATACAGCACTTAACTGCAATATGGTCCACTTATAAAATAAAGTTTTCCACTTTAATAAGTACAATATGAAAAATATTCTCGACACTGATATGATGATGTAACAACTATGGAGATGAAGCAAAGAAGAAATTAAGAGCTCGGTTTAGATCATAATCTGCTGCCAAGGTGATCCGGACAAGCGTGGAGCGAGGCACCTGTTGACCTACAACTTCCCGCAACTGCTGCACCACTGCCTCCACTCTTCCGTTGTTACCCTCTAAGCTTTGCTCACCTCCAAAACCATACTGTAATGCAAAACACTCAATATTATATATATATATAATATATATATATATATATATATATATATATATATATATATATATATATATATATATATATATATATATATATATATATATATTATATATATATATATATATATATATATATATACACAGTCAACAACCCATTACAGTAAAACTTATTATAACTTTGTATTTTAACTGTAATCCTATGTTATTGGGGTGGGAAGTGGGAGACTGCCTGGTGGGGTGAGAAGGAGGTTGGGAGGGTGAAGTATGGCTGTCAGTAGTAATGCTAAACTGTACCTAACATGCAGTACTGAGATGGACTACATCACATCTTAAGGTAAATAAACTTTATACAAATATTTCTTCATTTATCTTATGTATCATTATTCCTGTGCAATAATTCTGGCCTAACAGTAGCTGCTGGGGCACAGTTCAACTTCTGACATGACAACAATACAGTACAGTACTACTTATGCCATCTCAATCTCTTGTTAACTACAGTGATTATTTGTTACAACCAGACTTCACTGATGGCACAGGTAATGTGTGGCTATTCAAATACCTTGAAATTGGCAATATTTGAGGCTTATATAGTGCACACTACCCCCATTAATGACTAAACAGAACAGCAGTCTAGTTAAGCCTCTTCCAGGATAAGCCAAAATTTCAATAAACCTCAATAAATCAGATTGAATATTCTTTCACCCGGACCATGCACAATGCTCGTGATCATGCATAATTATGGTATGTACGAGTAACTAAAGTGTAATGAACACTTCTCAATGATCAATAATAACCCACATGGAGACAGAAACTAAGGAGGTTGATTGGTCTGTATATTTCGACCCCTGCTGAAGAGGATCCCAGAAGGGGGTTGAAATATAAAGATCAATCACTCTCCTGAGTTTCTGTCTCCATATGAGTTATTATTATCATGGTATGTATAACTAAGATGTATGAGAGGGCTAGTATGAGATAAGAAAGATCTCATCCAATCAGCTCCACATTCTTTACATAAATGCATCAAAATATTCCCCCTTATTACCTGAAGGCCTGGGATGAGGCTCACTTGGTCATCAGTAAGAGGGTCTGTGGAAGACACTGAGAGGGGGCTGTCCTCCCCACCTGTACCATCCCCTCCCACAAGCATCTCTTCCCCAATGGCACCAGAACACCACTTTCTATGATCAAAGATTAAATCACATTAGAAAAGATGTGATACAGTGCATACAACTGAAGTTACAAAATATCTAAAGCCATTTCAAGAATGAAGCTAACTGGTAAATTGTAAAAATAAACCAAAATTGAGAAAACAAGAGATGAAAGGAGTGTTTTATATTTTTGACTACAATTAAAACGGCTGAGAATCGAGATAAACAGTAGTAATCTTAACTTCTTGCTTTTTCTCTCTATGTGGGTTTATTTTTGCCACTGATCAGTATTTATTACCCAGTATACTTTAGTGTTTAATTTAGTAAATGTTCAATTAGAGATGCAAGAAGTCCTTGAAACTTTCACATAATACAATATTTTGACATTACGATGGTGCAAAAGCAATTACTATGTGATAAAACTTTAATTACCAAGCATGAAAGCGGCAAGTTTGTAACTTGCATTCACTTATTTACTTTTCAATACTGTATTTAATTAGCTACAGCAGTTACTTGTTTTCTCCATGGGGAAGTGGAACAGAATTCTTCCTCCGTAAGCCATGCGTGTCGTAAGAGGCGACTAAAATGCCAGGAGCAAGGGGCTAGTAACCCCTTCTCCTGTATATATTACTAAATTTAAAAGGAGAAACTTTAGTTTTTTCTTTTGGGCCACCCCACCTCGATGGGATACGGCTAGTATGTTGAAAGAAGAAGTTACTTGTTTACACTGGACCCTTGGTTTTTGTGATTAATCCATTCAAGAAAGTCTGCTGAAAACGACCACCAAAATCCAAGGGAAATCATGACAACCAAAGCTATATTTTCATGAAAAAAGTTACAGATAACCAAAATTCACGAAAACTGAGACTCAAGAAAACCAAGGGTCCACAGTATTTACTTATTCAGTGACAATAGTTATTTATTTACTTACTTATTTAGCATATCACATTCATATTCGACTTAGGATACTTTTGACTTATGATGGGTTCGTCGGAATATAACCCCATTGTAAGTTGAGGAGCGCCTGTAGCCTCTCCTCACTTAGCAATGTACTCTATACTCAACGTATAGAGAACAGCACAAGAATGACATGTTGCACACATGTTCATGTTGCTGCTCAGCCAGTGTCAAACTTTAATTGGTTCCTAACTAAGGATGTTTGTAACTGGGGGTGTTAGCAAGTTGACCAACCTCCTTTATTACCTAAACAAGTAAGCCATCTAAAAGAAACATTTAAGCAAATAAAAACAAATGAAAGATAAGTAAATACAAAATCTAAAGGCTGCCCCCACAGTTGAGGGACGACTGAAGTTACAAATGATGATTAAAACCAACATGTGTAAGAAGACTAATGTGCATTAACTATGACATTTATTAGATGTTGTTTTGTCCACCTGAGGCTTAATCAGCTGATGGATCGATATAGTCCCAGGTGGGCAAAACATCTCCTTAATTAACATCCCAGCTACTAGAAACAAACACATATGCAGTTTAATGTGATCCTTTATTGACAATGTTTCACCCACACAGTGGGCTTTTTCAAGTCACACACAGAAAAAAAAAAAGCCCACTGTGTGGGTGAAACGTTTTCAATAAAGGATCACATTAAACTGCATATGTGTTTATGTTTCCATTGTGTTGGTATTTTATACCATTTATTTTCATCCCAGCTACTGCTGATGATAATGGCCACAACACATTAAAGTCAAAATAATAAATGTGTTTAATTAAATTCCTGGTTACACTGAATGTTACTGAAGTGTTTATTGGTTGAGAAAGTGAGATCTAAACTGCAAGGTGTGATTGTTATTATTATTATTCACCGAACTGGTAAAAAAATCAGGAGAGCTCTCACCTGTGCTTGCCGAGAGCCATGGTGAGGTGCTGCCGGAGATCATCTGGTAGCTGGCTTAATGTCTCCCCCTCAAGTACAACAGAACTCACAACACATTGATGCACACACACCTCCTACAATGTCACAAGATTAACAATACATTTGCAAAATATACATAAAAGCGATACAGCTATGAAAATTTTCAGAAAAATAAAAAAAGGCACAATACAGTACTGTGACTGGAACAATACACAAATAACCTACATATAGGGAAAAAGAAATTTATGACGATGTTTTGGTCTGACTTGACCATCTCAGGTAGGGCTGAGGAAAGGTTGTTGAGGTGGTTCGGACATGTAGAGAGAATGGAGCGAAACAGAATGACTTCAAGAGTGTATCAGTCTGTAGTGGAAGGAAGGCGGGGTAGGGGTCAGCCTAGGAAAGGTTGGAGGGAGGGGGTAAAGGAGGTTTTGTGTGCGAGGGGCTTGGACTTCCAGCAGGCATGCGTGAGCGTGTTTGATAGGAGTGAATAAAGACAAATGGTTTATAATACTTGACGTGCTGTTGGAGTGTGAGCAAAGTAACATTTATGAAGGGGTTCAGGGAAACCGGCAGGCCGGACTTGAGTCCTGGAGATGGGAAGTACAGTGCCTGCACTCTGAAGGAGGGGTGTAAATGTTGCAGTTTAAAAACTGTAGTGTAAAGCACCCTTCTGGCAAGACAGTGATGGAGTGAATGATGGTGAAAGTTTTTCTTTTTCGGGCCACCCTGCCTTGGTGGGAATCGGCCAGTGTGATAATAATAATAATAATAATATATCATTTGACATACATTTTAGAATAGTTGGGTTACTATGGTAGTTTCTGGTGCAAAACAGAAAATATTACACTATAAAAATTTTTTGCATAACTTCGCCTAAGTCACAGTTACCCTTCATTTCCCCCTGACATATGGGCAAGGAACAGAAACTCAAGAATCTACAAATAAATAATATAGTAAGAGGGGGAAAAAATCTCAGTTGTACAATAAAGGGTACTTTTTTATGACACATACAGTAGAATAAAATGCAAAATACTCAGTTGAAATACTGCAGTTCAAGTTCAGCTCTTATGCACACGAAACAATTCGTCAACAAATCTGAACGCAATTAGAGCAATAGTATACAATTCATGTACAACTATTCGAGTACTGTTCCAACAACTTTTCACTTTTTCTTAGCATATAGTTAAGAATTTGGTCAACTTGAACAATGGAACTGGCTTAAAATCGGACTCAAAGTGGATGAAATCACTGATGCGTAAGTACTGCTGACAGCATAATTCGCAAAAGCATAATTTTGTCAGTTTTCCATCAAATTTAGTACTTTTGGTTTCATTACCTTCAAATAAAGTTTCTCTACCATTTCATAAGAAAAATAAATTTTTTTTTTAAATTTTCCAACCCTGAGAGCAAGGGTCTCAACCCAGAAAAGGTTAAAAACAGTAGTGATAATACTTAAAGGCAAAATTTATTTTATATGCAAGTACTGTACTGAACTGTACAGAATTTGAGCACATGCAGGTACATACATTATCACGTACACATATGTCAACATACGCTAGCACTTCATGAAGATGAAAAAACGTACCTTAAGATGAGATGCATTGCAATGGTGGGCAACAGTGAGCAATGGCACAACTGATTCGTCATCAACATGCTGCTCGAGCCCAGATTCCACCAATAGTTTCAATGCATCTACCTAAAGAGCAACAACCAGAAGGAAGGCTTGTAAATGGTCTCTGACAAAACATGTAGTATTAAACACAAAAGTGTCTTAACCCTTAAATGGTCCAAACGTATATACAGTGGACCCCCGCATACCGTTGGCCTTACATAACGTTAAATCCGCATACCGATACATTTTATCGCTAAGATTTTGCCTCGCATACCGCTAAAAAACCCGCTCAATGCTGTTCATCCGAGACGCGTCTAATGTGCGGCCTTAGCCAGCCTCACATGTTCCGCTGGTGGCATTGTTTACCAGTCAGCCTCCGCGGTAACATCCAAGCATACAATCGGAACATTTCGTATTATTACAGTGTTTTTGGTGATTTTATCTGCAAAATAAGTGACCATGGGCCCCAAGAAAGCTTCTAGTGCCAACCCTACAGGAATAAGGGTGAGAATTACTATAGAGATGAAGAAAGAGATCATTGATAAGTATGAAAGTGGAGTGCGTGTCTCCGAGCTGGCCAGGTTGTATAATAAACCCCAGTCAACCATCGCTACTATTGTGGGCAACAAAAAGGCAATCAAGGAAGCTGTTCTTGCCAAAGGTTCAACTGTGTTTTCGAAACAGAGATCGCAAGTGATGGAAGATGTTGAGAGACTCTTATTGGTGTGGATAAATGAAAAACAGATAGCAGGAGATAGCATCTCTCAAGCGATCATAAGTGAAAAGGCTAGGAAGTTGCATCAGGATTTAATTAAAAAAATGCCTGCAACTAGTGATGATGTGAGTGAATTTAAGGCCAGCAAAGGTTGGTTTGAGAGATTTAAGAAGCGTAGTGGCATACATAGTGTGATAAGGCATGGTGAGGCTGCCAGTTCGGACCACAAAGCAGCTGAAAAATATGTGCAGGAATTCAAGGAGTACATAGACAGTGAAGGACTGAAACCTGAACAAGTGTTTAATTGTGATGAAACAGGCCTGTTTTGGAAGAAAATGCCAAGCAGGACCTACATTACTCAGGAGGAAAAGGCACTCCCAGGACATAAGCCTATGAAAGACAGGCTTACTCTGTTGATGTGTTCCAATGCTAGTGGTGATTGCAAAGTGAAGCCTTTATTAGTGTATCACTCAGAAACTCCCAGTGTGTTCAGGCAAAAGAATATCCTTAAGGCTAATTTGTGTGTGCTGTGGAGGGCAAACAGTAAGGCATGGGTCACTGGGGACTTTTTCTATGACTGGTTACACCATGCATTTGCCCCCAATGTGAAAGATTACCTAACTGAAAAGAAATTAGACCTTAAGTGCCTCCTGGTGTTAGATAATGCCCCTGGTCATCCTACAGACGTGGCAGAGCGACTTTATGGGGACATGAGGTTCATTAAGGTGAAGTTTTTGCCTCCTAATACCACTCCTCTTCTGCAGCCCATGGACCAGCAGGTTATTGCAAACTTCAAAAAACTGTACACAAAAGCTCTGTTTGAAAGGTGCTTTGTAGTGACCTCAGAAACTCAACTGACTCTAAGAGAGTTTTGGAGAGATCACTTTAATATCCTCAATTGTGTAAACCTTATAGGTAAGGCTTGGGAGGGAGTGACTAAGAGGACCTTGAACTCTGCTTGGAAGAAACTGTGGCCAGAATGTGTAGACCAAAGGGATTTTGAAGGGTTTCAGGCTAACCCTGAGAGGAGTATGCCAGTTGAGGAATCTATTGTGGCATTGGGAAAGTCCTTGGGGTTGGAGGTTAGTGGGGATGATGTGGAAGAGTTGGTGGAGGAGGACAATGAAGAACTAACCACTGATGAGCTGCTAGATCAACTTCAACAGCAAGAGGCCAGACCTGAGGAAACTGGTTCGGAGGAGAGGAGAGAGAAATTGAAGAAGTTGCCTACTACAAAGATTAAGGAAATCTGTGCAATGTGGCTGAAAGTGCAAACCTTTATGGATGAAAATCACCCTCACACAGCTATTGCAAGCCGTGCTGGTGACTATTACACTGACAATGTTGTGAAACACTTTAGGGAAGTCATAAAGGAACGAGAGGTACAGGCCACTATGGACAGATATGTTGTGCGACAGAAGTCCAGTGACTCTGAAACTGGTCCTAGTGGCATTAAAAGAAGAAGGGAAGTAACCCCAGAAAAGGACTTGACACCTCAAGTCTTAATGGAAGGGGATTCCCCTTCTAAACATTAAGACTCTCTCCTCCTCCCATCCCATCAATCATCACCAGATCTTCAATAAAGGTAAGTGTCATGTAAGTGTGCATGCCTTTTTCAGTTTGTGTGTATTAAAATTAATATTTCATGTGGTAAAAATGTTTTTTTTTCATACTTTGGGGTGTCTTGCACGGATTAATTTGATTTCCATTATTTCTTATGGGGAAAATTAATTCGCATAACGATAATTTCGCATAACAATGAGCTCTCATGAACGGATTAATATCGTTATGCGGGGGTCCACTGTATACGTTTTTTCAACATCTGAAAGTATGTAAAAAAAATGTAGATTTTTTGTTTTGTTTTACATGTGAAAACGTGTAAAAAAAACTTTTATCTACATTTTTTTTGTTATATTTGAAAATATGTAAAAAAAGTAGATCTACCTTTGTAGCACTACGAATTTGAACGTCGATCTGTTTGGACCGTTTAAGGGTTAAATACTTGTCAATGGCACAAATGAGCCCACATGGAGAAAATAAAATGAAAGACATGAGTAATGTGTACTGTGTATCATGTACAAATGAGGCTTTCCTAAGCAACAGGCCATAAATTCACAGTAGGTCAATATATACATGTACAGTACTCTTCTTATCTTCTATGTCATTTCCTCCATGCAGATTCATTTGTACTGTGTATTATTTGGTTGAAGGAACATGTACAACATACATTTGATAAGTAGTTGCAATTTTCTACCAATCAGAGACTTGAGGTACCTTACACCTGAGGTACTGAGGCAACAGCCTTATTTACTCTTATGTTAATCTGCCACTGACAATGGTCTGTGAATTCTGAGATATAATTACCCCATAATGGTCTGCTAAGACAAGCAAGTCCACTAGCTGGTCAGGAGGAAGATTGCCACATTCCACATGACCTGCATATAAGAACCCCAGTAGTAGCTGGAATGTCTGCACACTGCATCCATGGACAACAATGCATCTGGGATTAACAAGGAAACAACAAGATGATTAGATGTTAACAGGGAGAGGAAAACTATACATTTTAAGATTAAAACATATACAATCTGTTCTACAACTCATTACCTGATGATTTATTCATTCAAGAGCTATGTTTAGAAATTGCTTCTCCAGTCCTGCACTCTCCAAACCATCTGGGAATTTTGGATAAGAAATGAGTTGTCTTTGTCCTAGAAGAGGGTAAAGAATAACTCAGCACATCAACCAATGGTAAAGGCTATACTATCTGATAAACATTGTTGAGGTAATCCCAGGACCAAGGGGCCAGTAACCACTTCTCACGAATAATTTACTAAACGTAAAAAGAAGATTGACTTTATAGTCTTCTTCTTTTCTCAGGTCAACCTGCCTCTGTGGGAGACGGCCAGTATGTTGAGGAACAACAAAAAATATTGTAGAAGTGATGTGCAGCTAACTAATATGCGATTACTAAGGGTATGTACCCATATTTTTGAGTTTTGAAAAGTTAATTTAACACTCGACATTTAGCGAGAAGTCATTTCCCAAATTACAACAACTGTACTGAAAAAAGTTAACACAGGTTCTTATCAGATTAGTAAGCCCAAGATCTAAGATATTAATAATATACCTTTGATTGAGCTCTACATTCATTAAAATAAGGAAATTTTTTAACACCTTTCACCATGTAAAATTTTCTGTATTGCAAAATTTCCAAGTCAATTAATTTCAGGTCTAATTAACTAGTTGTCCTCCCATCAGAAATGACTTGTGTATTAAATTTTCATCTATTTTCCTCTTTACTTATTATTTAGTCTAAGCCTGTGATGCATGCTGCAGCATAAGTAACTTTACTGATAATAACTCTTTTTATATTTGACTGCATCAATATGGCAACAATTATTTTAATATACCCAATACAACAGTGAGTCGATTAGCTTACGGTTTAGTAGACATTCCACTCTGTGCAGTGTTAATTAACCCTTGTTTTCATGTTTTACAGGGATGCAGATGAACAAAAAAATTACAAATTTAACTTCCATTCTGTATTTAAAAACCATATGACACATTTTGAGGCATATGCATAATGCACGCACACACTTTACTTTCCATATGTACCAAAATACATTTCTTGAAACGATACTCTGACAACATGACTCATGAAATCGCAATAACACTATTGCAAACAAACCACAGTATGGGTGGGGTTTGAATTTAGGGTGAACGAGTCATGAACCTCCCTATGGTGTACAAATATACCAAGCTGGATGAATCTTACTGTAGCCAAATGGCCAAGTGGCTTACACACTGTCCTGGACTTTTACAACTCCCAAGCCGTGGATTCAAACCCCACCCTTACCATGGTTTGCTATGACAATATGGTAGCTTTATTCCACACACTTCGTGATAAATTCTGTTCATTAGCATGGAATATGCAACTAGAAATAAAAATTCATAAAAGAATAATATCTTCAGCAGGAAACTAAGGATGGTTAAATCTGTCCTAAATATGTGTTCACTGTACACTAGATAGGAGACTCAGTTATTAAATAAAGTCATACATAAGTCTGCTCACAGAAAAAGATAAAGTATCACATTAAAGATGCTAAAAATCTCAGCTTCATACTGGATGATGTGAATCATCCAGGAGCTGACATTCCTACTAGCTTACTACCCTATCCATCTGCCATCCAGTCCTTTACACTCACTTGCTCTCTTCTATACTAGCCTTCATTATGCTCATACCTCACATGGCCAACAATCAATGGTCTTCCCTACCTTTTCTCTTCACTATCACCCTGGCAATTCAACAAGGTTTAAGTTGACACACATACCTCTTCCTCCTCCCATCCACTTCCTGTTCCTTCTCTATCATTACCAATTCCAATCTTACACCCACTTTCTTCACAGATCACTAATACAAAATCATTCTGCTAAGTGGTCTTACCTGTCAATAGCTTCCCGCATTCCTGATAGCAGTGCTCGCCTGAACCATTCACACCTCGCTGCTGCCACCACTCTATGTGCACCAAGTTCAACCCCTTCCCAGCTGTATTGCCTCTTGTGCTCTGGCACTGTCCCAACAAGCTCCTCTTCCCTGCTCTCTACACTGGATGACTTAATCATCTCATCGTCAATGTTTGGAGCTTTGGTTAACCTTGACTCCTGTATTTCAGAGCTCTGAGATTTCTTCAGCTTTCCGTTATCTACACATGGAGATTCGCACACTTTTCTTTTTTCGGACTCAGGTGCAGTATTTAGTTTACCTGCTTCACTTAAATTGATTTTGTAATGAGAGTCTTCCAATAATTTCAAATTGTTACTTTCGCTACCAATTTCCTTTTCTGAATTTATCTCATTTTTCCTTTCTCTCTCATTCCTCATATTTATGTCATTTCTCAAAACCTCGTGATCTCTCTTATTTTTATATTCATCAACCTCCTTCTTCAGTAAAACACCTTTGCTTACCGTGATATCGTTGCTGCCTAAACTCAAGGTCCTTACCAAGTGATTGTCTGCAAATTTACACGAACACAGGTCTTCCCCACCTAAGCCATCTTGGCTATGCTCTCTATTCACAGTCAAAGAATGTCTTAATTTACAAGAAAGTTCAGTATCGACATAACTTTTATCACTTTCCACTTGCATTACACCATCTAGTGTCTTAGTGGAGTCTTTAATTTTACACTTCTCACTTGTATCATTACTTTTAACCTCATCAACATTAAACTTAACATTACCATCACATTTAACACCAACATCATTAGCCTCTATATCAGCATTTTCACTTTCTTTGGAACTTCTATGTATAAATTTGAAATCTGGGGCATGATGCTGGTTAAAGTCTTTGGGCATAAATGGACTATTGGACACTAAAACATTATCAGAACAAGTCACAACATCACAGTCAAGACTATAAGCTTGAGGTGGCACTGCTGCTCGTACACACGGACGGTCTAGGCTTAAAGATTTCTTTACTTTCCGAACAACTGTTGAGGACACCTTGGGCACTGCTGAAGCCAAAATGCTGGACTGCAATGGCTGCTGCTGCTGCAAGTCGCACCACTCTGTCCCTGCTTCCTTCACGGATTCTTTACTTGCACTCTGATTGGCTCCGTGGCCCTCTATCATATCTAACTCCTCTTGGCTTGATGATGGAGAAGCTTCATCATCTGTGTAAAGGACAATTTGAAGCACTACTGTATTTAGAAAGTAAGATTAACAGTGTAAGATAAAGAGATATATGAAGATACTATAAAATACAACAATGAAAAAAAATTATTACAAGATTAATAATTATAATACACATAAAAAGATACAAGTGACCCTTGACTTACAACCACCCAACTTAAGACTGCCTACATTTACATCCATTATTTTCCCCTGGTGAGAGAGCTGGTAAAAAAATCTAAATTCTAGGATATGTCACTGATAACCAGCAATATAACCCCAACTTATAACATTGCACAATAGTAAATAACAGTTTGATTTAAAATAGGGCAATTGGTAGCAGCTCTCCCTGAGCCTTGTAAGTGCAGAGGTTGCTGTATAATAAATACAAGTACAACAAAGTTACACCTAACCTGCTGGGGGAACCACCACAAAGGTCATGTCACTCAACACCGGATCACTTAACAGCCGAGCAATGTTGATAGCCAGCGGGTTACTGCGTGATGGAGGCGGCTCACACACCCTGCTGACCAAGCTTAACTGCAACACATCATATAGTTCCATTACTTTTCATGAACTAAAGCTTCTTAATGTATTTATAATATGGGTCAAAATACCAATTAATAATTGGAAAGTCTTTAAAAAATATAGTCACTGCATAATTATTTAGGGACTTTTTAATGATCCAAGACAAACTCACAGTCACGTATTTAAGAGTAAAAACATCTCGGTACTGTACGTCAATATGACCTGCAAAAACCACTATAAAACTGCATAACAAACTTGACAATATAACACAAGTTTGATGCACAAGAAAACATACATGGACAAGTTAGAGATGTGATACAATAAAACAGTTTTAAGTCTATAAGAGACATATGCTTGAATGGGGGATGAAGAAGAGATAATGAATAAAATAGGCATTTAGAGAATATTTTAAACTATTTTAGTAAACTGTACACAATGTATGTTAATCATGTTACTCTGTCCACAAGAGCAGGCAAAATAAAGGAAATTATCTTTTTTTTTTAACACGTCGGCCGCCTCCCAACGAGGCAGAGTGACCCAAAAAACACTTTAAACATTAAAAGCTGTTATTTTTTATATTTGTATATTACCCTAATATTTATAAATTGTATGGTATTGTACAGTATTTCAGTTTTCAACCTGAACTCGTACTATACTGTATTTCGCGGCATATTAGATGCTTTTCTTTTTCCATAAAATGTCTCAAAAAAAAAAAAACACTCTGCATCCTATAAACTGTTGACTATGCATTTTTTATTGGACATCAAGAGGAAAGGTGCACCTTGCAGGGTGACTGAGAATGCTCATCAGGGATTGTATCCACATTAGGAATGGAAGGGCATCGGCGCTGGCCACTACTACTCGAGGTATCTGAAGAATTGGAGAAACTTCGTGAACTGGAATCAACTGGCCCCTCCGTGTCACCAGGGGAATTCATATCAGCTGCTGAAGATGGTCTTAGCTCTGAAAATATATTCACTCTCAGCAATTCATGAAGCACTGGCACTCAACCCACAATATATTTTCCCTAAAAGCTATGATATGAATATTTCTGGTTAATCATCTTTCAACACACCGGCCGTATCCCACCGAGGCGGGGTGACCCAAAAGGAAAAACAAAAGTTTCTCCTTTTACATTTAGTAATATATACAGGAGAAGGGGTAACTAGCCCCTGGCATTTTAGTCACCTCTGACAACACACATGGCTTACAGAGGAAGAATTCTGTTCCACTTCCCCATGGAGGTAAGAGGAAATAAACAAGAACAAGAACTAGTAAGAAAATAGAAGAAAACCCAGAGGGGTGTGTATATATATGCTTGTACATGTATGTGTAGTGTGACCTAAGTGTAAGTAGAAGTAGCAAGACATACCTGAAACCTTGCATGTTTATGAGACAGAAAAATGGACACCAGCAATCCTACCATCATGTAAAACAATTACAGGCTTTCGTTTTACACTCACTTGGCAGGACGGTAGTACCTCCCTGGGCGGTTGCTGTCTACTAACCTGCTACCTAGAATTTCTGGTTAATATTTTTTAAAATATTTTATTACTGAGGTAGGGTGACCCCCCAAAAATAAACATATTCATCATCAGTCATTCAATAGCTGTCTTGCCAGAAGTTAGTTAATTAGTTTAATATTTTTATTATGCACTCCATACCCATCCTGTGGGCAGTAGTCAAGAGATTAGAGATGTCCATGATGGGTCTAGGGACTGGGGCCCTAAAGTTTTGATAGCTGAACAAGTTACAAAGGTAATTAACTCCAGAAGTGAGCAGACGTCACAATTTAAATGCCTCCACAAACTGCAACATTCCCATTCCTCCAAGAGTGAAGGTACTGTGTTTCTCACCTCCAAGACTCAAGTTCAGCTAACCAATTTTTCCTGAATACCTTCACAAATGTTACCTTGCACACACTCCAACAGTATGTTAAGTCATAAAAGTCACTTGTCTCCTTTCACTCTGATCTAACATGCTCACACAAGCCTGCTAGATGCTCAAGCCCCTAGCACTTAAGGCCTCCATGACACCCTTCCCTTCAACCTTTCCCAGAATGACCCCTACCCTCCTTCCTACCACCACAGATTTATATAGCCTCCTGGTTATACCGTCCTATTCTGCTCCCTCCTTTCTTGAATTTCCAAGCCCCTCCTGAGTCCTATGAGTTATACTTTGGCAGCCTCACTCTGTCCTCTAATTTCTATACTCTGAATGATGTGCATAAAATTGCTCTCACAAATGACATCCCCACTGCCTCCAGCTGCCTCCTTGCTTCCTCATACCCATATAAAAGTGCTGGTATCACTATCCTTTGGTACTTTTTTCCTTTTTTGGCAGCCATGGATAAACTTCTTTCTTTCTACAGAGTAATAAATGTATTACGAGATTACACACTACACTAGGTATGTGCTAAAGTGTTAGTAGCAGTATTGGTGTTGGCTGAGTTTGACAATATCAGTACTGGCCTAAAACTTAGCATTGGTATCAGTGAGTATCAAATAATAATGACAGAATCTGTAATTGGTATCAGAAAATTCTGATGGTATTATAGCAGAAAAGGAATACCTAATCATGGTTCTCACCTTGTGTTTTAGGGTCTTCTGAGGAGGAAGATTCACCTGAGGAGTCTTGCAGTGGTGCAAGGAGTCCCAGGTGCTGCAGGGAGGCAGTGAAGGCTGGGTGACCCACTCTTTCCACCAGCTCTGCAACCAGTGATTCCACTACGCCTCGGTGTTCCACCAAACGTTCCACAATGCTTCCCTAGAACAATAATGCAACAAACATTAAGTAGAAATACATATACTGACCATTTTGAGACTGTGTTCACAATAATGCTTATATTTATAATACTCTTATAGAGGACCTCTTGACAGATAATGCAGTGCAGAGAACTAATCTACTCAGTATTTTTGTTTGATCTTGATCTCTAATTCCTTTTAGTAAGATCAATTTCTTGCCTGTCAAATATAATCTTCCATCATTAGTCCTACTCACCACTGTTTTTAACTATGCTCTTCATCAATCTATCCTCTTTATCCTATCTACATGCCCAAGCTATATACCAATTATTTATTTAATTTTTTGGGTCACTACCTAGATGGGAGGTTAGCTGGACTTAGAGTCCTGGAGGTGGAAAACACAATGCCTGTACTCTAAAGGAGGGTGGGGGTATTTGCAGTTTGTAGTGGCATCTGGACTGGTATCTGCATGCCTCTGGCAAAATAGTGATGGAGTGAATGATGGTGAAAGTGTTTCTTTTTCAGGTTGCCCTACCTTAGTGGGAAACAGCCAGTGTGTTAAAAAAAAAAAACTTAAATGTCATAAGAATGTGATGACAGCCAAATGTGTGACGCAAAGGAATCCTGAGACAAGCCCAGAGGAGCATTACAGTGTGCACCAAGTCATGCTAGGCAGGTCCTACTAACAGTGACCCACTCCTACTCATGTAACTTTGAAACTTAATTATAATTTTAAAGCTACCCACAGTACTTTCTCAATAATGCTACCTGACAGTTTGTTTTACAGCATTTTTATTGCACTGTCACTCATTCTTAAATTATTATATTTCTTATCACCCACCAAGAGAATTATAACTGTTACAAATTTCATCATAAAAATCATAATAATGTGTAACTACTGTAATAATGTGTAACTACTGTAATAATGTGTAACTACTGTAATAATATGTAACTACTGTAATAATGTGTAACTACTGTAATAATGTGTAACTACTGTAATAATGTGTAACTACTGTAATAATGTGTAACTACTGTAATAATGTGTAACTACTGTAATAATATGTAACTACTGTAACGCACAGGGTAAGGTATGATACAGTGTTACAGTAAAACCTAGGTTAAGTTATCAATAAAAACGATATTACTTCTAACTTTTTAGACAGGTCATTTATTTAATTTAAATATGCAGTTGCTACTTCATTCTAGATTTATCAATGAAGCTTGGAGAATATTAGTTTTAGTAATATGTCCATTAAAATTACTGGTATGTGTTGCTAGCAATCGACTAACAATAGACAAAGTATTTCCTTTTCCAACTATTTTGATACAGGTAATTTATTTGAGTTAAACAGGGTATGGGATGATAAAATAATAGTAATAATAATCGTCATCACATTCAAATTAAGCGTTAAACAGCTATGGGCTAGAATAATTTGTAAAAAATGCTAATTCATCATGAAATTCAACTGTAAAGTATAGAGGCTTTGCATTTGTTGTAATGTGTCCACTGTGATCATCAGCATGCATCATCAGACTGGGCAAATGAAATATACTGCTCTGGATTTATCATATGGAAAAAGCCGTGTGTAATTTTTTAAGGGTTGGGCTAAAAAGGGAAAATTATTGCTTATTCATTTTGAAGTGTTCAGTGTGGGATACTGTATATTCAGCTTAGCCAGATGACAGTTTAACAGGATTTGTCAGTATATCTGATGAAAGGTAAAGCAGATTTTTTATTAATATAATGACTGGAAAACCAGAATTATTGCATAACAGGTCTGTCTTGAACAAAGATGAGAATATTTGAATTGTGTTTGTAATGAAGGTCATAGTTAAGGAGCACTGTGGATACTAACTAATACTATTAAAATAGAGACAGGCCTTAAAAAAAATGAGAATCTTTCTTCTTCTGTCAACAAACCGGCCATATCTCACCGAGGCAGGGTGGCCCAAGAAGAAAAACAAAAGTTTATCTTTTCAAATTTAGTAATTTATACAGGAGAAGGGGTTACTAGCCCCTTGCTCCCAGCATTTTAGTCGCCTCTTACAACACGCATGGCTTCCGGAGGAAGAATTCTGTTCCACTTCCCCATGGAGTTAATGGAAATAAACAAGAACAAGAACTAGAAAGAAAATAGCAGAAAACCCAGAGGGGTGTGTGTATATATATGCTTGTACATGTATGTGTAGTGTGACCTAAGTGTAAGTAGAAGTAGCAAGACGTACTTGAAATCTTGCATGTTCATGAGACAGAAAAAAAGACACCAGCAATCCTACCATCATGTAAAACAATTACAGGCTTTCGTTTTACATTCACTTGGCAGGATGGTAGTACCTCCCTGGGTGGTTGCTGTCTACCAACCTACTACCTAGAAAAATGAGAATATTTTAATTAATAAATATGTACACCTACCACTTTTGAGGTGGCTCCTTTGAATACAAACTTAAACTCTGACCACTCCACTATGTCTTCCAAGTCTGCTGCAGCTTCTTCAAGTCGCAGTGTCAGGACAGGTAGTTCCTCAGTGAAGTGCTCAATAATACGTGCCACCCCTCGCACTCTTGCACCTCCTCCTATTTCTTCAAATTGTTCTCTCTTATGCACAAGAGAGTTCAAGAATGAAGTTAAATTCTCCTGCAGAATGCGTAGTTTTTGCAACTCACGAAGGTGTAAATCCTGCACAATAAAACGCTGTTTTAAACCATTATGAAAACCACATGAAAATTATTCTGAGCAATAAGACATGTAAAACAATGCCTTCCTTCTCTTCATCACTCAAAACTGGAAATAATAGATGGAAAAATTAATAATGAGAGATGTGTGTACCACTGAAGACTGACTATCATGAGTAAAACTTAATGGATCAAAAAAAGGCTACATTATTTGAGTTAAGCAGCTTGATTTCTTCATATCAACTATTTCCTATCAAGGTAGGGTGATCCAAAGGAAACACATTCACCATCATTCATTCAATAACTGTCTTGCCAGAAATACTTGGTCATCACAATCTAACAATCTTACATATATAGATATCAGACTTTTAACAAAATCTTATGAAAGAAATATTTTGAATATTCAATGACTGAAAAAAATTACTTTACTTTGCAAGTGAATCAGTCTACTTCTTCTTCTTTCAACAAACCGGCCGTATCCCACTGAGGCAGAGTGGTCCAAAAAGAAAAATGAAAGTTTCTCTTTTTAAATTTAGTAATTTATACAAGAGAAGCAGTTACCAGCCCTTTGCCCCTGGCATATTAGTCACCTCTTACAACACGCATGGCTTACAGAAGAATTCTGTTCCACTTTCCCATGGAGATAAGAGGAAATAAACAAGAACAAGAACTAGTAAGAAAATAGAAAACCCAGAGAGGTGTGTATATATATGCTTGTACATATATGTGTACATAGGGAGTAGGTTGGTAGACAGCAACCGCCCAGGGAGGTACTACCGTCCTGCCAAGTGAGTGTAAAACGAAAGCCTGTAATTGTTTTACATGATGGTAGGATTGCTGGTGTCCTTTTTTCTGTCTCATGAACATGCAAGATTTCAGGTACGTCTTGCTACTTCTACTTACACTTAGGTCACACTACACATACATGTACAAGCACATATATACACACCCCTCTGGGTTTTCTTCTATTTTCTTTCTAGTTCTTATTCTTGTTTATTTCCTCTTATCTCCATGGGGAAGTGGAACAGAATTCTTCCTCCGTAAGCCATGCGTGTTGTAAGAGGCGACTAAAATGCCGGGAGCAAGGGGCTATTAACCTCTTCTCTTGTATTTATTACTAAATGTAAAAGGAGAAACTTTCGTTTTTCCTTTTGGGCCACCCCGCCTCGGTGGGATACGGCCGGTGTGTTGAAAGAAAGACATATATGTGTACTGTGACCTAAGTGTAAGTAGAAGTAGCAAGATGTACCTGAAACCTTGCATGTTTATGAGACAGAAAAATGAACACCAGCAATCCTACCATCATGTAAAACAATTACAGGCTTTCATTTTACACTCACTTGGCAGGACGGTAGTACCTCCCTGGGCAGTTGCTGTCTACCAACCTACTACCTAGAATCAGTCTACATAAGATTGAAATAAGTCAGTAAAGTTAAAAAAAAAATAATTAGTAATACATTATCAGTTTTAGGTAACATATTAAACTTGCAAGGATAATGATATGAGCACTGTTTGCCATCAATGACATACTGTACCCACATCCAGAATATTTTTTTTATTCGTCTTCTTTATCTTTCAACAAACTGGTCGTATTCCAACAAGGCAGGGCGGCACAAAAGAAAAAATGGGGGCTTCTCTTTTTACATTTAGTAATACATACAGAAGAAGGGGTTACTAGCCCTTTGTTCCTGGTATTTTAGTTGCCTTTTACAACATGCATGGCTTATGAAGGAAGAATTCTGTTCCATTTCCCCATGGAGATATTTTTTTATTATTATAATATTATCGTTGTTGTTGTTGTTATGTACTTTTTAATTGCCATCTCCCACCAAGGCATGGTGACCCAAAGAAAAAGGAAAATATTCATCATTATTCATTCAATCATCTTTCTTGAAGTGTGTACATATCACAACCAGATTACCCTCTGACTGCAACATCCCCATCCCTCGGAGCTTCAGAGTGCAGGCACTGCCCTTCCCACCTCTATGAGTCTTAAGTCTGGCTAACTAGTTTTCCCCTGAAATCCTTCATGAAAGTTACCATGCTAACACCCCCAACAATATGTCCATTAAAAAGCACTTGTCCCCATTCACTCATATCTAACACACTCACACAAGCCTGCAGGATGCTCAAGCCTCTAAAACTGAAAGCCTCTTTTACCCTCTCCCTCCAACCAATCCTGGGATGCCTCCAACCCCTCCCACCATATATTTATATACCATCACCTTCATTCTATCCCTCTCTATTCTCCCACCCAAACCAAATGAATAAACACAAATAAATTTACATTAGTGTATGGCATGGTGACCATCAGGGACCTAGTGCTGGATCTCACAGTGTGGCTGTGTAAAGGTAGAAAGTTGAAAGTGAACATAGATAAGAGTAAGGTGATGAGGGTATCAAATGATTTAGAAAAAGAAAAACTGGATATCACAATGGAGGGAAGGAGTATGGAAGAAGTGAATGTTTTCAGATATTTGGGAGTTGACTTGTCAGCAGATGGGTTTATGAAGGATGAGGTTAATCATACAATTGATGAAGGAAAAAAAATGAGTGATGCATTGAGGTATCTGTGGAGACAAAAAACGTCATCCATGGAGGCAAAGAAAGGAATGTATGAGAGTATAGTGGTACCAACACTCTTATATGGGTGTGAAGCTTGGGTTGTAAATGCAGCAGCGAGGAGGTGGCTGGAGGCAGTGGAGATGTCATGTCTAAGGGCAACGTGTGGTGTAAATATTATGCAGAGAATTCGGAGTGTGGAAATTAGGAGGAGGTATGGGGTTACTAAAAATATTAGTCAGAAGGCTGAAGAGGGGTTGAGGTGGTTTGGTCATTCAGAGAGAATAGAACAAAGTAGAATGACTTGGAGAGTGTATAAATCTGTAGGGGGACGAAAGCTCGTCCTCAAAAAGGTTGGAGGGAGAGGGTTAGGGAGGTTTTGTGGGCGAGGGGCTTGGACTTCCAGTAAGCATGCATAATAATGTTAAATATGAGTGAATGGAGATGAATGGTTTTTGGGACCTGATGAGCTGTTAGAGTGTGAGCAGGGTAATATTTTGTGAAGGGACTCAGGGAAACTGGTTAGCCGGAATTGAGTCCTGGAAATGAGAAGTACAGTACTTTTTTTTTTTTTTTTTTTTTTCAACAAGTCGGCCGTCTCCCACCGAGGCAGGGTGACCCAAAAAAGAAAGAAAATCCCCAAAAAGAAAATACTTTCATCATCATTCAACACTTTCACCACACTCGCACATTATCACTGTTTTTGCAGAGGTGCTCAGAATACAACAGTCTAAAAGCATACACATATAAAGATACACAACATACCCCTCCAAACTGCCAATATCCCAAACCCCTCCTTTAAAGTGCAGGCATTGTACTTCCCATTTCCAGGACTCAAGTCCGACTATATGAAAATAACCGGTTTCCCTGAATCCCTTCACTAAATATCACCCTGCTCACACTCCAACAGATCGTCAGGTCCCAAGTACCATTCGTCTCCATTCACTCCTATCTAACACGCTCACGCACGCTTGCTGGAAGTCCAAGCCACCCACCCACAAAACCTCCTTTACCCCCCCTCTCCAACCCTTTCGAGGACGACCCCTACCCCGCCTTCCTTCCCCTATAGATAGATAGATAGATAGTAGGTTGGTAGACAGCAACCACCCAGGGAGGTACTACCGTCCTGCCAAGTGAGTGTAAAATGAAGCCTGTGATTGTTTTACATGATGGTAGGATTGCTGATGTCTTTTGTCTGTCTCATAAATATGCAAGATTACAGGCATGTCTTGCTACTTCTACTTACACTTAGGTCACACTACACATACATGTACACATTTATTTATACACACTCATCTGAGTTTTCTTTGATTTTATCTTAATAGTTCTTGGTTTTATTAATTTTCCTTTTATATCCATGGGGAAGTGGAATAAGAATCTTTCCTCCGTAAGCCATGCGTGTTGTAAAAGTCAACTAAAATGCCGGGAACAATGGGCTAGTAACCCCTTTTCCTGTAAAGATTACTAAAAAGAATAAGAAGAAGAAAATTGTCAAAGTGGGAAGTCTGAATGTGTGTGGATGTTGTGCAGATGATAAGAAAGAGATGATTGTGGATGTTATGAATGAGAAGAAGCTGGATGTCCTGGCTTTAAGTGAAACAAAGCTGAAGGGGGTGGGAGAGTTTCAGTGGAGAGGAATAAATGGGATTAGGTCAGGGGTTTCAAATAGAGTTAGAGCTAAAGAAGGAGTAGCAATAATGTTGAAGGATAAGCTATGGCAGGAAAAGAGGGACTATAAATGTATTAATTCAAGTACAGTACGTACACTTTAAAAAAAAGGTTTGGGATACTGGCAGTTTGGAGAGACGTCTAAACTGTCGTATCTGAGCGCCTCTGCAAAAACAGTGATTATGTATGAGTGATGGTGAAAGTTCTGAATGATGATGAAAGTTTTTTTCTTTCTTTCAGGGTCACCCTGCCTCGGTGGGAAATGGCCAATGTGTTAAAAAAAAATTACATTCTCACTTACGTGACAGAAGACTAGATGGACACATTATGAGATTCTGATGAATGTTTTAAAAAGTTGCATGTGAATAGAATGGTATTAGTCTTCACCTACATTTCTGAGGGATTTTGCTAGAAGATGTGTAGGTGAATGTGAAGACTCTAAAGATGTTGAAGATGCTTGGATTATATGTTCTAAGCTTGTTCTTAGCGATCCAACATCCACACACACAGTCTGAAGAACGGAGCTGATCTGCAAATAACAATCCACTATTATGACTCACGAAATCGTAATGACATGATTGCAAACAAGTGACAAACTTGTAAAAATCATTCAGAGGTGAAAGAGGTAACAGAGGGAGAGATGAAGATATTGAAGGAGGGACATTAGGAGAAAGAATGTGGGTAACAGGTTATGTAGTAAACTGGTGTTAAGAAATCAAAGTGTATCTGAATTAAAGGCAAGACAAAAACAAGACATTCCTAGAATTTAATCACATCATTATGTACCGTTCCCATGTGCTTACACTCGTATACATTTACTTCGAATGTTTTCTTAGAGCTCGTATATAAAAGATTTGGCATACAGCATTCTTGATCATGTACTCAGCAAGAATTCTCAGTATTTAGCCTTTTAAGTCTTGGAGATACATAATAAGATGAAAAAGAAGACAAATAAAAATTCATGAAATTAATACCTTATGATTAAGTAAGTAAGTAAGTAAGGAAAGAAATGAAATAACTATTTAGCAGAATTATTGAGCTTTACATACACATGAAGTCAAAGAAAATTCTATTGAGAGCTTGTTTGAAAGTGTAACAAGGGCTACACAAGTTATACTAGCTGAGTCTTTTTCCAGCAGTTCAATGTCTTGGTATGAAACACAATGATTGTACATTATTTTCAATAATGTTTCTTCTCTGCTGGCATGATACCCAATAACTGATGTAAATATTACAAAGAAATCTGCTGGGTTCATAATACAATAACAGTAAAGAATACAATAAAATTTGATGCAGTATATGTGTCTACATTAGGGCCACGATGCGAGCAGATATGGCTACCATGACTCAACTCCTATAAAGTTTTTTAAAACAATGTAGACTAATAATAATAATTACAGTGGACCCCCGGTTTACGATATTATTTCATTCCAGAAGTATGTTCAGGTGCCAGTACTGAACGAATTTGTTCCCATAAGGAATATTGTGAATTAGATTAGTCCATTTCAGACCCCCAAACATACATGTACAAACGCACTTACATAAATACACTTACATAATTGGTCGCAATGGGAGGTGATCGTAAACCGGGGGTCCACTGTATTTGTTCTTGTAAAAAGCACACTTGGTTGTGGAGCTATTTAAGCTTGAGCTTCATACAAGGTATTGATGGGTAAGATAAAAAAAAAATACTGTATAACATTTGGTCACAGCTCACAAGCAAATAAAAGTTTGTTGGTAATATTATTTAATTATGTACAAGTCAAAATTAATAGCTGAATGGATAAAACTTCTGATATAGTTGAAAGAAAAGCAACAATAAAAATAATAATAATGAGATAAAGCTTAAAGACAGCCAATAAATTAAACATTAAGGGGAAGATTAAGGAAAGACAAGGGTTGTACAACATGACAGTACCTCTGGAACAAGCTGTTGTGCTAGCTGTTGGCGAGTGTGGTGGTTAAGAACAGCAAGTGATGCCCGTACATTGGCCAAGAGTCGCACCACAGTGGCCAGCAAGGGTGGCAACTGTGACCGAGTGTACCGCATAACTTCGTGTTGCTCTGCCTGAGTTAGTCTCCAGCCACACTGCTCAAACTCTTGACTTAATTCAACCACTTTCACAACACCTGAAACAGTGTACCAATGAGTCTTTGTAAATTATATAAAAATAATTATGTCTTTTTCTTTTCTTAACAGAACACCGTCTCCCACCAAGGCAGGCCGACTCAAAAAAGAAGAAATGTAAAGTTTTTCTTCTTTTTATATTTAGTAATTTATACAGAAGGGGTTACTAGCCCCTTCTCACACATGTGTGACTTATGGAGGAGGATTCTTCTCCACTTCTCCATGGAGAAAAATATTATTATTATTATTATTATTATTATTATTATTATTATTATTATTATTATTATTATTATTATTATTATTATACTTATATAAAGTCAGGAGCAAGGGACTAGTAACCCCTTCACCTATATACATTACTAAAGTTAAAAAGAGAAACTTTTGTTTTTTGTTTGGGCCACCCTGCCTCAGTGGGACATAGCCGATTTGTTGAAAGAAAGAAGAAGACTTATATAAAGTGCTTAGGTCCTGTGGGTAATTCAGCAAAGGATGTGGTGAAGGATCAATCCTTCATTTGCTGTGTGCGAGACACACACCACCTAACAGCGCTCAACTAGGCTCCTAAAAATATTTATGCATATCAGCCATTGTTCTATGTGAATCATAAATTATAAAAAACAGTAATTATAAAAAAATAATCTTCTTCTTCTTTCAACAAACCGGCCATATCCCACCGAGGCAGGGTGGCCCAAAAAGAAAAACAAAAGTTTCTCTTTTTAAATTTAGTAATTTATACAGGAGAAGGGGTTACTAGCCCCTTGCTCCCAGCATTTTAGTCGCCTCTTACAACACGCATGGCTTACGAAGGAAGAATTCTGTTCCACTTCCCCATGGAGATAAGAGGAAATAAACAAGAACAAGAACTAGTAAGAAAATAGCAGAAAACCCAGAGGGGTGTGTATATATATATGCTTGTACATGTATGTGTAGTGTGACCTAAGTGTAAGTAGAAGTAGCAAGACGTACCTGAAATCTTGCACGTTTATGAGACAGAAAAAAGGACACCAGCAATCCTACCATCATGTAAAACAATTACAGGCTTTCGTTTTACACTCACTTGACAGGACGGTAGTACCTCCCTGGGCAGTTGCTGTCTACCAACCTACTACCTAGGAAAAAAAAAAAATAATCATGTTCACAAAACTAAAACATGTTAAAAGAGCATATTTCATATCCGGCCATCTACTAAATCACAATAAGCAACTGATATTTTGGATACTATCTTACCTATAGCCATCTGTCTTAGCGCAGCTTTAAGAACTGTGATGAGGTGGGTGGGGCTGGTGACAGCAGGGTCACTGGGGTTGAAGAGTTGCACCATCACCTCAACACATTCCTGCACTTCTTGCATTAGACACACCAACCCTGCACAAAATAAAAAAATATCTGAAATACGATATCCTTTTTACCTTTTACTTAACTAAATTTTAATGTATTAAGTAACTCTCAGCTTTAGCAATTTTAATGTACAATTTTATCAACAGCTGATTACAGAAATCCGTATTAACTTAGCTTATTGAGCTGTTAACCAGGAAACACTGATATAACCAGCCATCCATCCATGATAATGAATATCGTTACTTTCTATTGTAAATAAACATACCCAACCTTAGTTTCAGCAACAAATTTTCTGTTGAAAGCAAAAGAATTCTGAAAATTTGAGAGAAAATTCTAAATAATCTTCAAAATGCTTTGGCAGAATATAGTCTGTCTATATTCAATGATGTTCCCTGTATCAGCCATTTACACTTGTTTTGAGAAAAGAATGTGTAGATGACTCAAACATCCCTCAACAAACATACAACAGTAAAAGACATAAAGCATAAAAGAAATAAAAAGAATAATGAAATAAGAATTAAACAAGAAAATAGTGGGAAAACAAAAACACAACAAACATAGGGTGGAATGTGTTGAGCTATTTCATTCATTTATCTATCTGTAAAGGACTAAACCAATAGGTCATTTAACACAATGAGTGATAGAGGCTCAATCCTCCATTGGGTAAGTGTGAGACAGCCATGTTAACTAGATCTGGATGAATGTGAAGACTGAAGAAACATAGCAGACTATGGGTGCAAAGTGCACTGCACTCTGTGAAGACAAATTGTCAATAGGAGGAAAAGCATTTACTTTCCTCATAGCAGAGCTTCCATGGACCATTATTTATCAACAGGGAGGCAATAGGAGAATTTCATAAAAAAAGCAACAGCAACAGCCTGGTTGATCACACAAGCACCAGACGAGCCTGACCCATGGCCGAGCTCTTGCAGTAGGAAAACTCTTGGAACTCATCAAAGATATCAAAGGCTACATGCTGGGCAACATCCAACATTTTCATTTATTAACCCTTTGAGGGTTTTGGTCGTACTAGTACGTCTTACGCGTAGGGGTTTTTGACGTACTAGTACGCATAAATTCTAGCGGCCTCAAATCTAGTGGGAGAAAGCTGGTAGGCCTTCATATGAAAGAATGGGTCTATGTGGTCAGTGTGCACAGTCTAAAAAAAATCCTGCAGCACACAGTGCATAATGAGAAAAAAAAAACTTTGACCATTTTTATGGAATAAATCAGCGAATTTGCAGTGTATTTTCGTATGGTATTTATTGTTGTATTCTAGTTTTCTTGGTCTCATTTTATAGAATGGAAGACATATTACAGAAATTGAGATGATTTTGACTGGTTTTACAATGAAAGGTGCCTTGAAATTGAGCTCAAAGTAGCAGAAATGTTCGATTTTTACCAAACTTCAAAAGTAAACAAATCGTGCCAAGTGTGCAATACACGTCAACTGGTGAGTCTAATATTCTTTCACAAGTGCACCAATAATATTTATACCATTTTTTACACTAATGCAGTAGTCTGCATAACAGTAAATCTTATATTTTTTGTGAGAATAAAAATTCAAAGTGGAAAGCAAAAGAATATAAGAGGGGCCTTGAGACGTGACTAATGACTAGAGGAAATGTCATTTTAGTGCCAGGAATGTCTTTCTTGTTTATTCTGGACCCTATTCGGAAATTGGCATCTTTTGAAATTTGTGTGAAATTGGCAAAATTGCTAAATTCTGACCACTGTACTGGATAGTTGAATTTCATAAATGGGTGGTTTCTTGCACCCATTCGATAGAAAAAATGGAGTTCTAGCGAAATATTCATGTTTTTTGTCGACTAGTACAGTGAAATTGGCTGAAAATGGGGCTCAAAGTGGGCAAAATCGCCGATGCGTAAACATCGCCGAGACCGCTAACTTTGCGAGAGCATAATTCCGTAAGTTTTCTATCAAATTTCAAACTTTTGGTGTCTTTATGATTGGGAAAAGATTCTCTATCTTTTCATAAGAGAAAATAATTTTTTTTTTTTTTAAATTTGGCCAACCCTGAGAACGAGTTTCGGAGAGGGCCTGTCGACCCTCAAAGGGTTAAATATTAATACTGCATATTCACATTCAAGTAAATACTGTTGAAATGATTGATGTTTTACTAATCATAATACAGACTGCTGGCTCAAGTAAATTTTTTTATAAATGTATAAACCCTTCTTTCAACACACCGGCCATATCCCAACGAGGCGAGGTGGCGCAAAAGAAAAAATGAAAGTTTCTCCTTTTACATTTAGTAATATATACAGAAGAGGTTACTAGCCCCTTGCTCCCGGCATTTTAGTCGCCTCTTACAACACGCATGGCTTATGGAGGAAGAATTCTGTTCCACTTCCCCATGGAGGTAAGAGGAAATAAACAAGAACAAGAACTAGGTAGTAGGTTGGTAAACAGCAACCGCCCAGGGAGGTACTACGGTCCTGCCAAGTGAGTGTACAACGAAAGCCTGTAATTGTTTTCATGATGGTAGGATTGCTGGTGTCTTTTGTCTGTCTCATAAACATACAAGATTTCAGGTACATCTTGCTACTTCTACTTACACTTAGGTCACACTACACATACATGTACAAGCATATATATACACACCCCTCTGGGTTTTCTTCTATTTTCTTTCTAGTTCTTGTTCTTGTTTATTTCCTCTTATCTCCATGGGGAAGTGGAACAGAATTCTTCCTCCGTAAGCCATGCGTGTTGTAAGAGGCGACTAAAATGCAGGGAGCAAGGGGCTAGTAACCCCTTCTCCCGTATAAATTACTAAATTTAAAAGAGAAAATTTCGTTTTTCTTTTTGGGCCACCCCGCCTTGGTGGGATACGGCCGGTGTGTTGAAAGAAAGAAAGAAGAACTAGAAAGAAAATAGAAGAAAACCCAGAGAGGTGTGTGTATATATGCTTGTACATGTATGTGAAGTGTGACCTAAGCATAAGTAGAAGTAGCAAGACATACCTGTAATCTTGCATGTGTATGAGACAGACAAAAGACACCTGCAATCCTACCATCATGAAAACAATTACAGGCTTTCGTTGTACACTCACTTGGCAGGACGGTAGTACCTCCCTGGGTGGTTGCTGTCTACCAACCTACTACCTAGAAAATGTATAAACTATAAAGAATATATTAAATCAATCAATCTGAGGAGTTGCTGCTCACAGGAAAATACATTGTATTAGTGTTTGCTTTATTTAATCTCAAATACAATATGTGCTGTAATATTAAAAACAATTATTCAGATTATACATTAATTTGACTAAAATATTTTTTGTAACTTTTTTTTTTTTTCAACAAACCGGCCGTATCCCACCAAGGCAGGGTGGCCCAAAAAGAAAAACATAAGCTTCTCTTTTCAAATTTAGTAATTTATACAGAAGGGGTTACTAGCCCCTTGCTCCCGGCATTTTAGTCGCCTCTTACAACACGCATGGCTTAAGGAGGAAGAATTCTGTTCCACTTCCCCATGGAGATAAGAGGAAATAAACAAGAACAAGAACTAGAAAGAAAATAGCAGAAAACCCAGAGGGGTGTGAATATATATGGGGTTTGGGATATTGGAAGTTTGGAGGGATATGTTGTGTATCTTTATACGTATATGCTTCTAAGCTGTTGTATCCTGAGCACCTCTGCAAAAACAGTGATAATGTGTGAGTGTGGTGAAAGTGTTGAATGATGATGAAAGTATTTTATTTTTGGGGATTTTCTTTCTTTTTTGGGTCACCCTGCCTCGGTGGGAGACGGCCGACTTGTTGAAAAAAAAAAAAATGTATGTGTAGTGTGACCTAAGTGTAAGTACGTAGAAGTAGCAAGATGTACCTGAAATCTTGTATGTTTATGAGACAGACAAAAGACACCAGCAATCCTACCATCATGAAAACAATTACAGGCTTTCGTTGTACACTCACTTGGCAGGACAGTAGTACCTCCCTGGGTGGTTGCTGTCTACCAACCTACTACCTAGAAAATGTATAAACTATAAAGAATATATTAAATCAATCAATCTGAGGAGTTGCTGCTTACAGTAAAATACATTGTATTAGTTTTTGCTTTATTTAATCTCAAATACAATATGTGCTGTAATATTAAAAACAATTATTCAGATTATACATTAACTTGACTAAAATATTTTTTATAACATCTAAACAAAATAATATACAATATTCACTGTAAGCACAAATAACATTTCCACTTTTATGAAAACCCTCAATGTGAAAATTTCCACATGATCTCTGCCAAAAAACAAAACATAAAAAGCTTACTGTTCCTGAGATTTGTGTTCTTAATGAAGACATCACATTTCTTTCTGAAGTCTTCAAAGCATTCTAGATGCTGGGTGGCTGCAATGCTCTTGTGAGCAGTAGCAACGGTGAGTGTCGAGGGAAGACAACATGAATACAGGTAGTGCAGGATGGTTTCCAGGGCTGTGTCGTCCATGCCACATAGGGTCGTCCAGTTCATAGATGGCATGCTCGACTCCAAAACGATGCTGTGCACATCAAACTGCAATGTGAATAAATGATTGCATTGACTGACAAAAAGCATACACATCAATTTTATCAATGAGAGTGAGGATGTTGCAGTTTGGGGGGATTATCTTAACTATGATGTCAGCACGCTTCTGGCAACACTGCAATTGAATGAATTATGGTGAATGTGTTTTCTCGTATTTGGATCAGTGGGAGAGGGATGGGGTGTTAAAAAAATAAAAAATGAAATAAGAACTGGTACAACTGAAGTCATATGAAGAAAGTGATACAAAAGGAGTATTTTAAATTTAGGCCTACATGGAGGCCCTCATTTGTAGGCCAAAATATAAAGCATTTCTCTTACCTACTGTTTAATTTTCTCTACACCTGTTTCTCTTTTTCCACCTACAGTGGTACCCCGAGTTTTGAACTGCTCCCAACTCGACCAATTATGTAAGTGTATTATTGTAAGTGCTTTTTTAAGTGTATTTTTGGGGGTCTGAAACGGACTAATCTAATTTATATTATTCCTTATGGGAACAAATTCATTCAGTAATGGCACTTCTAGAGTAACAGCCTTCCAGTAACAGCCTTCTAGAGCGAAGAAAGCTCGAAACTCAGGGTACCACTGGATTTCTGGCAAATGCTTAAAAAAAAATCAAGACAAGCAGGAATACTTTCAAAATATTATAACTGAAAACCAATGCTAAAAGTGTGGGTTGCATCCTGGGACAAAATTGACCTAACTTGCCTGAAATGCTCCGCATAATAAGCGGCTTTCTACGTAGTAGTGTGTCAGTGATGTCAGCTATGGTCTGTATATCTTGTACATGTACTTATAGAAATAACTATGCATATTATTTTATTATTATTATTAATTATACTGACAAGTGATTAAAAAATCAAGATATAAGCAAACACTAAGACACATGTCACTGTGATGCATATTATTTGGGATTCTACTGTATATTGTTCAACATTTTCTTCAATCTGGTCATGAATGACAAAGTGAGAAGCTTCCATTTTTACTTGGTCCACAACAAACAATGCATTAAGGATCATTCATTCAACAATGAAATGCTATACACATCAAGGTTTTATTAAACACTAATTTAATGTCGCATTAAACACTAATTTTATGTCTTATTAAACACTAATTTTATGTCTTATTACACACTAATTTTGCCTTATTAACCCTTTGACTGTTTCGGTCGTATACATACGTCTTACAAGCCACAGTGTTTGACGTATGGTATATACTCAAAAATTCTAGCAGCTTCGAATCAAGCAGGAGAAAGCTGGTAGGCCCACACGTGAAAGAATGGGTCTGTGTGTTCAGTTTGCACCACATAAAAGAAATCCTGCAGCATGCAGTGCATAATGAGAAAAAAAAACTTCGACTGTTTTTTGGATTAAAACGCTGAATTTGTGGTGTATTTTCGTATAGTATTTATGGTTGTATTCTCGTTTTCTTGGTTTCATTTGATAGAATGGAAAACATATTATAGAAACAGAGGTGATTTTGATTGGTTTTACTATGAAAAGAACCTTGAAATAGAGCTCAAAGTAGGGGAAATGTTTGATTTTTGCAGATGTTCAAAAGCAAATAAATGATGTCATTATCCAATAAATGTCCAACTAGCCATTCTAATATGCAGTCATGAATGAGTTGACATTATTTATACAATTATTACAATATTGCAATAGTCTGCATAACAGTAAATCTTCTATTTTTTGTTTGAATAAAATTCAAAATAGAAAGCAAGAGTAATATCAGAGGGGCTTGGAGACGTGACTGATGAACAAAGAAAATGTTATTTTAGAGCCAGGAATGTCTGCATTGTTCATTCTGGACCCTATTTTGAAATTGGCATATTTTTTAAATTGTGTGAAATTGGCCAAATTGTAAATTGCTGACCACGTTATTGGGTAGTTGAAATCGGTAAATGGGCAGTTTCTTGTACTCAATCGATAGAAAAAAAATGGAGTTCTAAAGAAATAGCTATGAGTTTGGTCGACTGGAACAATGGAATTAGTCGAAAATAGGGTTCAAAGTGGGTGAAATCGCCGATTCATAAATATCGTCAAGGTCCCTAATTTCGTGAGAGCGTAATACCATAAGTTTTCCATCAAATCTCATTTTTTGGTGTCATTACCATCGGGAAAAGATTCTCTTATCATTTCATAAGAAAAAATTATTATTTTTTTTTTTTTTTTCAAAAATTTTCCGACACCAGAAGACACCTCAGGATTTGGGGTTTCGACAATCAAGGGGTTAACCCCTTGACTGTCGAAACCTAAGAAATTTACTGATTTATTTACAGTGTTGCATTTATTTCTCTGAATTCTTCAAGAGGTTAATCCCTTGACTGTTGAAACCCAAGAAATTCACTGATTTATTTACAGTGTTGCATTTATTTCTCTGAATTCTTCCTCTGTAAGCAATGCGTGTCATAAGAGGTGACTAAAATGCTGGGAGCAAGGGGCCGGTAACCCCTTCTCCTGTATATATTACTAAATTTAAAAAGAAAATCTTTTGTTTTCCCTTTTAGGTCACCCTGCCTTGGTGGGATATGGCTGGTTCATTGAAAAAAAAATTTACTTCTCCAAGGTTATGGGTCCCAACACTTGCATCTAGGGAAAGGACCCTGTTACATGTCAAAACTTCTAAATTAAAAGATGAGGGAGAACAAGGACGAGGTCTTTTAAAAGTGAGAGGGGGGTCCCAGAGAAGAATGGTAAGGTGTGTTTAGCAAGTCAGCCTGATGTCTGTTTTACTTTGCCCAAAAGATATGAATCTATCAATGAAAAAGTTGATTTGATGCTCACCTTTCTACCTGATTTTGCAATAATAGTGACATCTGAGAAGTAGCCATCAGCAAGGGCTGGAAGCAGGGAATATGGAAGGTCTGGAACAATCTCTGGAGTAGTCAGCTGTAAGTAAAATATACATTTTAAACTAACTAAAAATCAGTAATAAATGCTCTCCTATATTATAGCAAGTTCTCGGTGCAAATAATTTGGCCAGACATATGTTATTATCTGCACCTACTTTTGTCTGTTTCTTATCTCCCCACTCAACACCCTAGCATTCACTTCTTTTATAACCCCATATATAAATAAGTCCTAGGTAGCAGGTTGGTAGACAGCAACCGCCCAGGGAGGTACTACCGTCCTGCCTAGTGAGTGTAAAACGGAAACCTGTAATTGTTTTCATGATGGTAGGATTGCTGGTGTCTTTTTTCTGTCTCATAAACATACAAGATTTCAGGTACGTCTTGCTACTTCTACTTACACTTAGGTCACACTACACATACATGTACAAGCATATATATACATACATACCCCTCTGGGTTTTCTTCTATTTTCTTTCTAGCTCTTGTTCTTGTTTATTTCCTCCTATCTCCATGGGGAATTGGAACAGAATTCTTCCTTCATAAGCCATGTGTGTCGTAAGAGGCGACTAAAATGCCGGAAGCAAGGGGCTGGTAACCCCTTCTCCTGTATATATTACTAAATGTAAAAGGAGAAGCTTTCGTTTTTCTTTTTGGGCCACCCTGCCTTTGGTGGGATACGGCTGGTTTGTTGAAAAAAAAAAATATATAAATAAGTTAAACAATCATGGTTAGTATATACATTCCTGTCTAAGAACTACTTTTACTGGAAAATAATCCTCCCCTCTCTTCTGCATACCCTAACTTGGGCCTCACTATCTACATAAAAACCCTACTTCTTTTAGTAACATACTACCTATTCCATATATCTGCAACATCTGCAACAGTGTCCCTTATATACCTTTTCTAAATCCAAAAATGCGACAAGAGGCTCCTTACTTTTAAACACAGTAAACCCTAGATGTAACGGACTAATAGAGGGGATCCTCCGAGTGCCCGTTAAGTCAGAATGTTAAAAAATCACAGAAAAAGTACTGCTGTACTCTACAGTATTCCTAACACAGTACCATAATAAATGTTAAAAACATATGAGGTACAATTATAATTTACCCAGTGAATTTTTTATCTGTTATTTCAGAGGTCCAGTACAGTGGACCCCCGGTTAACGTTATTTTTTCACTCCATAAGTATGTTCAGGTGCCAGTACTGACCGAATTTATTCCCATAAGGAATATTGTGAAGTAGATTAGTCCATTTCAGACCCCCAAACATACACATACAAACGCACTTACATAAATACACTTACATAATTGGTCGCATTCGGAGGTAATCGTTATGCGGGGGTCCACTGTACATCAAGTTCCTTAATATTGAGGGTTTACTGTAGTCTTCATTTGTATGCTCCAATGTAAACATTTGTTGTGATATTTTGACTTTATATATAAAAATGTTTTAGGTAGTAGGTTGGTAGACAGCAACCGCCCAGGGAGGTACTACCGTCCTGTCAAGTGAGTGTAAAACGAAAGCCTGTAATTGTTTTACATGATGGTAGGATTGCTGGTGTCTTTTTTCTGTCTCATAAACATGCAAGATTTCAGGTACATCTTGCTACTTCGACTTACGCTTAGGTCACACTACACATACATGTTTTTTTTTTTTTTTTTTCAACAAGTCGGTCGTCTCCCACCGAGGCAGGGTGACCCAAAAAAGAAAGAAAATCCCCAAAAAGAAAATACTTTCATCATCATTCAACACTTTCACCACACTCACACATTATCACTGCTTTTGCAGAGGTGCCCAGAATACAACAGTTTAGAAGCATATACGTATAAAGATACACAACATATCCCTCCAAACTGCCAATATCCCAAACCACTCCTTTAAAGTGCAGGCATTGTACTTCCATTTCCAGGGCTCAAGTCCGACTATATGAAAATAACCGGTTTCCCCGAATCCCTTCACTAAATATTACCCTGCTCACACTTCCAACAGATCGTCAGGTCCAAGTATCATTCATCTCCATTCATTCCTATCTAACACGCTCATGCACGCTTGCTGGAAGTCCAAGCCCCTAGCCACAAAACCTCCTTTACCCCCTCTTTCCAACCCTTTTGAGGACGACCCTACCCCTCTTTCCTTCCCTATAGATTTACATGCTTCCATGTCATTCTACTTTGATCCATTCTCTCTAAATGACCAAACCACCTCAACAACCCCTCTTCTGCCCTCTGACTAATGCTTTTATTAACTCCACACCTTCTCCTAATTTCCACACTCCGAATTTTCTGCATAATATTTACACCACACATTGCCCTTAGACAGGACATCTCCACTGCCTCCAACCGTCTCCTCGCTGCTGCATTTACCACCCAAGCTTCACATCCATATAAGAGTGTTGGTACTACTATACTTTCATACATTCCCTTCTTTGCCTCCATAGATAACATTTTTTGACTCCACATATACCTCAATGCACCACTCACCTTTTTTCCCTCATCAATTCTATGATTAACCTCATCCTTCATAAATCCATCCGCCGACACGTCAACTCCCAAGTATCTGAAAACATTCACTTCTTCCATACTCCTCCTCCCCAATTTGATATCCAATTTTTCTTTATCTAAATCATTTGATACCCTCATCACCTTACTCTTTTCTATGCTCACTTTCAACTTTCTACATTTACACACATTCTCAAACTCATCCACTAACCTTTGCAATTTTTCTTTAGAATCTCCCATAAGCACAGTATCATCAGCAAAAAGTAACTGTGTCAATTCCCATTTTGAATTTGATTCCCCATAATTTAATCCTACTCCTCTCCCGAACACCCTAGCATTTACTTCTTTTACAACCCCATCTATAAATATATTAAACAACCATGGTGACATTACACATCCCTGTCTAAGACCTACTTTTACCGGGAAGTATTCTCCCTCTCTTCTACACACCCTAACCTGAGCCTCATATATACATACCCCTCTGGGTTTTCTTCTATTTTCTTTCTAGTTATTTCCTCTTATCTCCATGGGGAAGTGGAATAGAATTCTTCCTCCGTAAGCCATGCATGTCATAAGAGGCGACTAAAATGCCGGGAGCAAGGGGCTGGTAACCCTTTCTCCTATATATATTACTAAATGTAAAAGGAGAAACTTTTGTTTTTCCTCTTCAGCCACCCCACCTTGGTGGGATACGGCCGGTGTGTTGAAAGAAAGATATAAAAATGTGGTAGAACACTGGAATAGGAGCTAAGAAATGGTAATCACACACTTCAAAACCTCTCTGAAAACTTCATGGAGTGAGCATCATTAGCACTAGCGCACTTAGCTCACACACTGAGGTCCGGAGATCGAATCTCTGGTATGGCTGGAAAACATTAGGATGCATTTCCTTAAGACACCTGTTGTCCATGTTCACCCATCAGTATAAAATGGATATGTGGATGCTAGTTGACTGGTGTGGGTTGCATCCTGGGACAAAACTGACCTAATTTGCCTGAAACAAGGGGCTTTCTATATAGTAGTATGTCATTGATATCAGATGAGCCTGTATACCTTGTACAAGTACTTGTAGAAATAAAAATATTATTATTATTATTATTATTATAGTATTAACAATTAAATCTTTCAACTAAAACAAGATAGATCTCATTCAAAATTACACTATTATCCCAACCAAATTTTCCTCTATAACACAACTAATTCACTGCCAAACAACGAAATGAGTCTTGCTTGTCCTTCCTCCGCAAGAAGAGCCTCAGAGCCTCACTCACCTTTTCGCACTGCAGCATGAACCACCCATCATATGTTAACAACATCAGGTCCCGAGACATTACTGGCTGGTCGAGCTGAAAAATTATGAGTAATAAATAAATACTGTAAAAGTCAGCATGTGTACAACTACAATTTAGTTTGTGGGATGGGGAGATGGGGATGAGCTCACAGCATTTTGCCACAGCTCTTACTGGTTGATCAACTGATTAAAAACACCTTTGTCGTATGTGTCAACTTTTCAACCCTTGTAGTTGGTCTCTGCAGAGTTAGTGTTAAATTCATTTAATTTTGTTACCAGGTTTATGTTGAAGTGTTTTCAAATATTGCTGTACCTCATTCTGGGGTGAATCCTCTAACACTGACACCCTGTTCTTCATTCTTTCCTAGTAAAAAAGTCTACAGTGTTTGAATGTTTTCCAATACAAGTTTACCTTTTAACATACACCATAAAGTAAGATTTATTCTATAATGTCATTCAGTAACTTCGTAAGATCATCAGTATTATAAGATTTTCTCAACAGATATAGTCAAAAAAGAAAATATTAATTCCCTTGACATAATACTTTCATATCAATGAATGTAAATCAGTACAGTACTGCAAAATAAAAATAATAATTTAGTGCCTTACATAAGCCAACTTACTCTAAACTCAATAATGTGTCCATTGTATGCAGCAAAGCGAAGCAATGTTCTGTTGCCATAACACTGGAGATTTTGGTAAGTATACACTTCATACATTTGGCAAGAAAAGAGCGGGAGCGCATCACAACCATCTGTAACAGTCCATGTGACATCTCCGGCCTCTGACAATACAAACTCAGTCCTGCAATGAAATACGAAATGTATCACTCTATATTTTAAGTAAGGTGCCCAAGCCAAGACTACAGACTTATACAAATACAGCAGGTCCTCGAATAACGTCATTTTGTTCAATATTGTTTCGTTATAATGATGAGAAAAAAATCGCAAACAAATTACAGCCTCTCCTTATTTAACGACAGAGTTCCATTCCTAAGACCACGTCAGTAAACGAATTCGTTGCTAAGCAAGGAGCATACTATAATGGTAGTGGGTTTGTGTCAACCATCTTTGATATTGTTTTAATGTCACCTTTGCACCATTATAACACTTTTAGTATATTTTTAAATGTTTATACAGTAGTGTACTGTATATTATAATAAACAGAATAGAGGAAATCAATTCTAATATACATTAATTAGGTATGCATATTGATCAGAGAGCCCATCGTAAGTCTGAGTCATTGGTAAACGAGTACATCACTAAGTGAGAAGCCATGTTGCAATATAAAAATTTGTAAAGTACATGTATATGATAATCATATGATAGTCTCATTGCTCAAAGTTGCAATTTCCAAAAACCTATCGATGGCATTAAGTGAAGACTTATTGTAGTACCCTGTAGCCTGTCACAGATTCCAGATATAACATCCTCCCCCAACTGTAGAAACAGGTTTCCTCTCCAGTGTATGCCACCTCTGTGTACCTGAATTTTTTGCACTGCATGCACCTCAGAGGTGCAAGCTGATAACTCCTGACCAAGAAGGTCTCGTATCCGCATTTGAGGGCTGCTGGTTTGGTCGTTCCAGCAAACTTTAATACCAGCAGGAGAGTTCTGCATTCACCACTGCCCCTTTGTATAAGATATGGATGAACCTTTGCTGGTGCATCCATTAACCAGGAGGCAGTGCATAGATAACTCCTTTTACCCTAGATCTATTCCTTACAACTGAGACTGTTATAAGGTACTGTCCATCACAGAAAATGGGTTTTTCTCCATCAACTGCTTAACCTGTTCATAAGTACAAAATTCCACAAGCAGATCACTGGACCTCTTCGGTTGTTTTTCCCTCAAAAATAAGACTCACCTTAACCAAAGGCTTACCTGTGTCTATTGTTTTGGAATCAACAAACCATACATGTTCTGAGATGTCATCCATAATAGAATGTCTAGTATTTTCCACTGTTTGTGATGTAATGGATCTTCCTCCAAGTCCTGTTGTTGTTGGGGTTGTTAAGTGACACCACAGATGACCATGAACACGTAAGAGTTAACCCAGGATAAACAAAGAAAGCCAGTGTGGCTTTATTTCCATCGAGATCATTTGTAAGTCCTTTCCCTGATGAGACTTACAACATGTGACTAACTACTTGGTAACTATTTACTGCAAAATAAGAAGTAAAGAAAAATTCTTCCTCTGTAAGCCATGTGCCTCGTAAGAGGCGACTAAAATGCTGGGAACAAGGGGCTAGTAATCCCTTCTCTTGTATAATTACTAAATGTAAAAAGAAGAAACTTTATGAAAGCATTTCTTCTTTTACAGGTCACCCTGCTTCTGTGGGGGACAGCCGGTGTGTTAATAAAAAAGAAGAAGAGTAGCAAGTGTTACGGGACTTGTCCTTTAAAACCTACTGCCCATACGTCCCACTTTGCCCAGGGTTAGGCCCAAGTACTTTCAGTCGAGTGTTAAATTTGCTACTCCAACTACACCATGAAGTAAGTTTATTTAGGTAGAGGTACACATAAGAACAGTTATCATACATAGTGTAAATTACCTAGAATAACCCCCCTCCCTCCCCCCCCAAAAAAAAGTTAAAGTGACTTATTTCCACTGGGGTCCTTGATATTTCCACGTGGGGAGAGTGCTGATGGTACTGAAGTGAAGCACTGGACATGCATCAGGAGAGAGGCTGATGTAACTTACCCTTCAATTCCTGTTGCCTCTGATGATCCTGACAATGACACACACTCTATGATCTGAAATAATGCGAGAGATAATAGTAAGCAAAAGAATGGTACAGAATATATTTACAGAACACAAATACATTCAGTATTGTATAGTACGGTAAAAATAACTTAATACTTTCCTCCCAAACTTGATCTGGTAAGAAGAGAGAGAGACGAGCATTACTTCATAAAAATTATGAAACTAATTTTGATCAGTACAGGACTGTATTTCTATTTTCTAATTAATCTCGTCTTTTAGTTACAAATTTATTATACAATATTATTACTAAGAAATCACTATTAAGATAATACAATGTCTGTACAGAGATGTATCAGACGTGATAATTTAGATATCCACGGATGCGGATGTATATGAGGATGTCTTACTTATTTTGCGGATGCAGATGTAAGAAATTGTTCAGATGTTCCTTGGATGTTGATGTGGATGTAAGAAATTGTATGGATGTTCTGTGGATTCGGATGTGGATGCATATGCAGATATCTGTTTACAGTAAAATGCGGATGCGGATGTAAAAAATTGTGCGGATGTTCCGCAGATGCAGATATCTGATACATCACTTGTATAGAGGTTAATGGCATTTAGGTGTGAATGCAGAAAGCCCTTTAATATGCAGAGCATTTCGGGTAAACTTAAAACTAACCTAAGATTAAAAAGGCAATGACAAATTTGGTGGTTTTATTTATATAGTCTCTTAGGTGATTGGAAATATAAATTTAGGAGTTACAATGAATACAAGAGAAATGAATATCTTATTAGTACATGCTATTTGGCTTTAATAAAGTTTAATTGTTTAAAGAATTACAGGTATGATTATGATTATAGGTAATGAGGATTCTAGCATTTAATTGTTTACATTATCACACAAATTTCTACAATGGTTATGAGACCATACTTAAAATACTGTAGTCAAACCTAATCAATACATTATGTGGATTTAACATAGGATAATCCAATAAAGGCAGTGCAACATAATTGCACTAAGCTATATTTATATCTATGTACGTACTATACCTTACAATTAGAGCAGTTTTTAATATTTTGTATTGCCTACATTACTGCAGTATACATTATGTGTTGAATGTAAATGGAAATAAAACGATAGAAGATACAGATTGAATCGACATAATTTACCATTTACCCAAAATAATGTGCATTCTATGGGCTTTCTAATTATTGTATATGTATTATGTAATGCAGTGACTGGAAATAAAGATTCTTAATTTAAATGAATGTATACCAATAATAATTGTGCTTATTGCAACCAATGAATAAATTTGTATTATTATTAATATTGCAAATTTTATTTTTATATTAAGCACAAAATGCCCAGTGGTTAATCGATGCTGGAATAAATTTATAACATTGCCTGCAATACAGCTTATCTTGTATGCATTTATTATACAAAATATGAGATTTTTTTTCAATTGGTGGGAAGTGCTAAATCCATAGGGGCTATATAGTGCAGTCAGGTTCACTCCATGGATGGGGACGATGCCCAGTTCCTGGGAAAAAGAACCCTTCACTGACATCAAAACATAAGAACCCCAATGGATATAAACCCCAGTTGACTTCATTGTGTTATGCTAGGTTAAATCATACACTATTGTGTGCCTATAATTATGGCACTATATACCATCCTGTAAAATAAAAAAAAATATAAAATTCACTGTAAATACAATGGATATGTATCAATGACTTTTCATGAGGAGGTTAATAATAAAATGAACTCAGAATACAGACACAACCGTAAGAGGTAAATTATTATTGTTATACACACTGGTGATAAATTATGTATACTAAAACATAAATTAACTCAAAACAACTATTATAAGTATGTAAATTTATTTGGGTACAGTGACTCAGTTCCATCGGGGTACTTGTATTAATGTGTAAGTGAACACAAATACACTAATGTAATGGAAATACAAGGACCCCAGTGGAAGTTCCAAGGACCCCAGTGGAAGTTACAAGGGCCCCAGTGGAAGCTCCAAGGACCCCAGTGGAAGTTCCAAGGACCCCAGTGGAAGTTACAAGGGCCCCAGTGGAAGCTCCAAGGACCCCAGTGGAAGTTCCAAGGACCCCAGTGGAAGTTCCAAGGACCCCAGTGGAAGCTCCAAGGACCCCAGTGGAAGCTCCAAGGACCCCACTGGAAGTTCCAAGGACCCCAGTGGAAGCTCCAAGGACCCCACTGGAAGTTCCAAGGATCTCATTAGAAATAAGTCACTTTGTCTGACTTTTCTGGGTTATCCTGGGTAATCATCATGTACGATGCTGTGTATGATAATTTATGTAACTGTATTTATGTGTACCTGTACTAGAATAAACTTAATTACATTTCAAAAATTGCAGTAGGTAATTAAAACTGGAAATTTCGGAGAATAACCGTAACAGATGATCACAGCCTAAGGCAATTATATCTAAAATATTAGTACAGTACATATTAATATAAAATAGTTTAATACAAATTAACCACTCTTATCTTGTCTATATTTAAGCAGATACCATGAACTGGGATTAGTCTGCCCAAAATGCCCTGGCACGATAGTGGCTTTAAGACAAGATTTCGTCCGAATTTTTAACCCCGGAGGGTTAGCCACCCAGGGTAACTCAAGAAAGTCTGTGCGTCATTAAGGACTGTCTGTCTTATTTCCATTTGGGTCCTCAATCTTGTCCCCCAGGATGCGACCCACACCAGTCGATTAACACCCAGGTACCTACTTTCTGCTAGGTGAATAGGACAACGGGCGTAAGGAAACGCGTCAGAATGTTTCTATTCCGATTTCTTTGTACTTAGCAAACCAAAATTGTAATTACACATTGTAACCTTTACAAAGAAATAAAATCTATATCTTTACGTTTACTATCTTTCTATACATGTTTACTAAGTGATGTAATTATGAGCGTTGCGTAAAACTGGATGAGGGAAATAATCCTCGAAATTGAAGGAAAAGAAATCCTCGAAATTAAAGGAAAAATAATCCTCAAAATCGAAGGAAAAATAATCCTTGAAACTAAAGGAAAAATAATTCTTGAAACCGAAGGAAAAATAATCCTCGAAATTGAAGGAAAAGAAATCCTCGAAATTAAAGGAAAAATAATCCTCGAAATCGAAGGAAAAATAATCCTTGAAACTAAAGGAAAAATAATTCTTGAAACCGAAGGAAAAATAATCCTCGAAATTGAAGGAAAAGAAATCCTCGAAATTAAAGGAAAAATAATCCTCAAAATCGAAGGAAAAATAATCCTTGAAACTAAAGGAAAAATAATTCTTGAAACCGAAGGAAAAATAATCCTTGAAATTGAAGGAAAAATAATCCTCGAAATTGAAGGAAAAATAATCCTTCAAATAAAAGGAAAAATAATCCAAATAAAAAAAACTAAAAGGGAAAAATAATCCTGAAATTGAAGGAAAAATAATCCTCAAATTTTTGAAGGAAAAATAATTTCGAAACAAAAGGAAAAAAATAATCCTTAAAATGAAGGAAAAATAATCCTCGAAATAAAGGGAAAAAATAACCCTCAAAACGAAGGAAAAAAATTCCATGAAACTGAAGGAAAAATAATCCCAAATTAAAAAAAAAAATAATCTCTAGGAAAAAATTAAAAGAAAAAAATAACCCAAAATTGAAGGAAAAGTAATCCTTGAAATCAAAGGGAATAAGTAAGATTATTTAGGCACAGGTACCCATAAGTACAATTATCATACATAGTGTAAATTACCTAGGATAACCCCCCCCCCCAAAAAAAATAAAAATTACATTTCCATTGGAAAAAAGCATCAAAATCGAAGGGAAAATAAACCCCAAAATAGAAGGGAAAATAATCCTCAAAATCAATGGGAAAAAATCCTCAAACCTGATGGGAAGAATCCTCAAAATTGAAGGAAAATAATCTCCAAAATTGTAGGGAAAAATAATTTTCAAAATCAAAGGGAAACAATAATCTTTAAATCAAAGGGAAAAATTCCTCAAAAGAGAAAGGAAAATAGGCTCCAAAAATCGTTGGGAAAATAATGCTCCAAATCAAAGAAAAAATCCTCAAAACGGAAGGGAAAAAACCCAAAATCAAAGGGAAAAAAATCCTCCAAGGGAAAAATCCTCAAAATTAAAGGTAAAAAAAAAACACTGAAAATCAAAGGGAAAAAATCCTAAGGGAAAAATCTCAAAGGGAAAAATCCTCACAACCGAAGGGGGAAAAAATTCCCAACTGGAACGGGGAAAAAATCCTGGAAACATAAATGTGAGTAAATATGGAGGAAGATCCTTTGTTAGGAAGTAGGTCAGTGATGTTAATAATTCAAACTAGTGTTACAGGTTGATTAATAGTGAAGATGTTGTGATTAAGGAAGATATTAATCCATGTTAATCCCCGGGTGATCGATGTGAGGTGATTGTGCCTGTGGGGGAGGTACGGAGGAGGGGGATTACAGGGGTGTGTGGTGGTGGGGGGTGAGGGGGTGGTGGGGGTGCGGGGCAGGATTTTTGAAAACCTTGATGTGCTGGATTTACCTTCCGGTGCCCACAACACGAGAGTTTCTGTCGCGGAAACCTGCCAAATAGTTGTGTCGTCTGCACACCCGCTGCCACCACCCCCCATTACTGCCACCCCCCCC